TTTTTTTTTTTTTTTTTTTTTTTAAATTTAATATATTTCGTGTTCCAGGCCAAGTCAGTTCCAAATCATAGCAATTGAGCAGAACTCTGCCGCCACAGCTAGATCTGAGAAAAGTCCCAGATTGATGCCACCCTGCCCACACTGCCTGGCCCAGCTTGGCCCTGAGCAGCAGCTGGAGGTGGGGGCTGGGTTGGGCTGGGCACTGCTCCTTCTGCCTGGGGTGGGTATAGACCAGGGTGGGGCAGGGTGGAGGGAGAGCACTGCTGCAGGCATGGGCTGCTTGCGTGCATGTGTGTGTGTGTGTGTGTGTGTGTGCGCGTGCGTGCGCGTGTACACGCGCGTGCATGGTGTCCTGGGAAAACTTGTATTTGGTTCACTTTGGCACCTTCCTAAACAGGGGCAGGGGGGCGGGCTGGGCTGGGCACTGCTCCCCTTGCCTGGGGCAGGGATTGGCCTGGGGGCAACATGCAGTGTCCCAGATTTCCTTAAAAAATAATATGCTCACCCTATGTATGGTGGATCTCGAATCGTATCAACTGGGACTGAATGAGGAGCAGAGTGCCCCTGGCCTCCAAGCACTCTGTTTGTCAGCCAGTGAGCTTTTTCTTTAGGTGAAAGCCTGATCTGCTATCTGCCATCCTGCCTTTCTTGCCCTCCTGCTTCTCCCCTAAAGCGTGATCCTTTTTAAATGGATCATCTCAGATGCCTTTCTCTGTCCTTTACTCTGCCTAACCAGTCAGCCTCTGTCCTTTCCACCTCCTTCCTGTTGCTTGACCCTCACAAGGCCTCCCTCAACCCCCTTCACTTGTTCTTTGGAAGTGTTGTTCATCACTTGCTGAGCAGCTGTGTGGTATGGTCACATTGCAGTAGCTTTGCTGAGGTGCATTTCTGTATGCCTCAGTCAGCTGAATGGACTGTAAAGATATAACACTGCATTGCTGTACAAGTGCTGTCCAAGGCTACTGCCCATGGACTGCTCTCCTCCCTTGGCTAGAACAGTAGGGGAACTGAGCCAAATGGTCAGGGTGCTGGAAATGAATACGGTATGTTTGCTTGGGGGTAGATGGGTGGAAACTGCTCCACAAGGGCTCACTTTGCAGGACAGTTTAGCCCTGCATTTTCAGGACACATTTTTCTCCATGTTTAATAGTCCAGCTCAGAGCCCCAGATAATTATGAGGGGAAGCCAGTCTGGCAAGCCTGTTGATGCCAATGGTAAAACAGGTGAGTGCAGGAACAGTTTTCTATCCTCTGACATATAGGTACAGGTGCAGACTGCCAGGCAGATGAGTTCTTGAAGGGGTCCATGGCCTATTTCAAGGACTGTTCTTCCTTCCAAGTCCCTTTTCAAGTCAGCAACCTCTGTCAGGATCATATCGCACACGTTGCACAAGGGACCCTGCTTGCATTAATTTCAGTCTTTCTCTACAAGTCATTCTCTCCATCTCTCTCATTTTATCTGCTCATGCTCCTTGCAGAGGGTGCTCTGGCATTCTGAAAGGTGTCTCCTTATAACCAAAGCCCAACATAATCCATGTGGAGAGCTTATTTCTTTCCCAGGGCTTGGCCTGGTTGCACTGATTAGAAATACCAGTAATAGAAAAAAAGGTAGCAATGAATTTAGCAGTCTGCTCAGAGCCTGCCATGCAGTGGAACTGTCAGAGCAAGCAGTAGTGACTCTCAGACTGTGGTGTCAGTCTGACATCTTAGCTGCCTGGGTCTCTAAAGAAAGATTCACCCTCCCCTCCCAGCTTTATTCTTTTTTTGGAGCCATGCTTTTGCTGCTTCTAGATTTCTTATGCAATAGATTTGTTGCTTTTAATCTCTTTTGCTTGCCTTTTGTGGTGATACCACTGATTTTTATAGCTGACAGTTTTGTAACATTTTGTGTACAACTTTCTTAATGTACCCTATAACTGCCAGCTATAGGCACCCTTCTTTTCTGATGCAGAAATGAAAATAGGTGGAGTTAAGTTATGTGACTGCCCATGATGGATGTGTTCTAAGTGCTTAGTGTGTGTTTTCCAGGGTATCCCCTCCAGATACCAGTTGATGACGGATCGGATGAGCCGGTTTCTGAGACCTCTGATGCTAAGAGTACCCCAACTACGGAAGGTGGGAGCTCCTTGACTTACTGCTTTGGAACCATAATAAAAGATGCCAGACTGGTTTCAAACCACAGGTCTATCTAGCCCAGTCTCTTGCAGTGACACAGAGGGGATGCTAAGGGGAAGAGTGTTTTACATAGGGGCTGTCCAGACTGATCCTGTCCCCTGGCCTTTTCCCCCTATAGCTTCCTAGGAAATCCTAATTTGGAGCTTGCATCCATACCTTATAGAGTTTAATATCTAGTGATGGACTTCTCCTGCATGACTATCCAATCTTCTTTTGAACCTGGTTAATTTTTCAGCCTCTAGCATCCTGTGACAGTGAGTTTAATAAAGTCATTATGCACTGGGTAAAAAGAGCTTTTTTTTATTAGATTTAAACCTGGTTCCCAAATACTTCAGTGTATGTTGCTTAGTTCTGGTCTTGTAACAGATGGTGTATACTAAATCCCTATTTACATTCTCCATACCATTCATTATTTTATAGAAGTCTCTCTCCCTTGGTTTTCTTTTCTCTAAGCTGAAAAATCCTAGCCTTTTTAGTCTCTTCTCTTTTGAAAGTCTCCTTGTACCCAGAACATCCTTGTTGCCCTTCTCTGTAGTTTTGGTGCCCTTTCTGCGCATTGTTTAGAACATCCATGTTCTGAGGGGGTTCCTGCAGAGGCCTGGACGTCTCATGTGCCTGTGCTGCTGGATCAGTAGTTTTCATTAATTAGATAATGGCACATGAGAATTGTCATTCAGACACCCCTAGAGGATTGATTCCTGTTTCATCTACCCATTCAAGAATTTGTAAACCAATGTGCCTAGTGGCACTGACTGAGTGAAGCCCATCTTGAAGGGGTCATTTCTTCTCTACTGACTGTTGTTTGCAACTTCCTGTTAATTTTAATGGACATTAGGCAAACATTCAGTAGTTGTTATTGAACAGCTCACAAAGCAGCACAGAATCTAGCCTAGACACTCAGACTCCAGAAACTCATTAAGAAATGTCTGACCTTCCCAGTTTCCTCTCCCTGGTGGAAGACCCTGTATCCAACTGGGAAAAACTGAATTTGTATCAAACTTATGCATATGAACAAACGGGGGGGAGCAGTTTGCAAGCAGTTCACAGGTCAGTTTGCCTCTTTGAAGGGGAGCCTTTAAGCTTGGTGGGAGGAAACAGGGAAAAAGGAACCTTTTGGGACCAAGGAGCAGTAAACAGGCCAGCTTACAGGCTAAGGAAGGTCTGTTTGGAAGAAGGGCAGCAAGAGAGAGGCAGCAGATTGAGAGACCCAGGAAAATGGCTGGAGGTCATTGCAATGCCAGAGACACTGCCACTGCCTGTGCTTGTACCTGTGAGGTGTCTGTCCAGGCAGGACTGCTCACTGTCAAGGCTTCCACCCAGGTCCTGGTTTGGGCCTGCAGGGACTGCGGCTTGCAGGTTCCTTCTGGTGATGGCCAGGTTGGGGAGTACTTGCAATGTGAGTGGTGCCTCCTGGTGGTGTCCCTCAGGGAGCAGGCTGAGGAACTGCTAGGTGAGGTGGCGCGGCTGCAAAGCATCCTCCACCATGAGGACTTCATCAGGTTCAATGCTGAAAGAGACTTCTTGGACTGTGGAGGAAGGACTGCCAAAGGATGCACTAGAGAAAGGGAGAGGACATGGACTCCTAGGAAGGTGGAAGCTTGTAACCTCAGGCAGCAAGCAGAAATCTTAATTTCCACCTGCAGCAGTTTGCTTGGAGAACAGGTGTGGAGCCCTAGCAACAGAGGAGGAAGAGCATGTTCCATGGGTGGAGGGGGACAGGCAAGGCCTCACCAAGGTGGGAAGGATTGAGACCACTATCACCAAGAAGAAGCAACAGTGCTGGTGGTTGGAGTCCCCCTTCCTTGGGAAATGAAAGCATCCACCTGCCAGCCTGACCTGTTGTCTTGAGAGGTCTCCTGCTTGCCTGAAGCCTGGATCCAAGATGTCCTGGAGAGATTACCAAGGCTCATCCAGCCCTCTAACTACCACCCCATGCTGCTCATCCATGTGACACCAATGATACTGCCGGGGGAGACCCTAAGCAGATCAAAAGGGACTACAGGAGCCTGTGTACAAGGGCAAAGAGGATAGGGGGTACATATGGTGTTCTTCTTGATTCTTCTGGTCAAGGCGAAGGGCCTGGGCAGGAGCAGGTGCATCCTGCAGATTAATGCATAGCTGCACAGATGGTGTTGCCAGCAGGGCTTTGGCTTTGACCACAGGATGATGTTCCAGGAAGAAGGTTTGCTAGGAAGAGAAGAGATCCACCTGACAGAGGGAAGAGCATCTTCACAGACTCTTTAACCTAGTGAGGAAGGGTTTAAACTAAGTTTGCCAGGGGATGGAGACCAAAGATCTGAGGTAAGTGGGGAAGTGGATGACCTGGACGAAGTGCAAGCAGGAGTGGGCAGTGGGAGGCGTTTTCATTCTTCCTGAGAAAGTAAGGCGATCAGCTAGTTACTTCAGGTGTTTGTACATGAATGCATGGAGCCTGGGAAACAAGCAGGAAGAATTGGAAGTCCTTGTAGTCACAGAACAATGATGTAATTGGAGTAACAGAGACTTGGTGGGATGGCTTACACGCGTGGAGCACTGTCATGGATGGTACAAACTGTTCAGGAAGGACAGGCAGGGCAAAAGAGGAAGAGGAATTGAACTTTATGTAAAAGAGCTCCAGTATGAAACTGGAGATAGGGCTGTTGAAAGTATCTGGGTTAGAGTCAAAGGGGAGAGCAACAAGGGTGATGTCATGGTGGGGGTCTGCTATAGACCACAAAACCAGGAGGTTATGGTGGATGAGGCTTTCTTAAAACAGCTAGCATAAGTTACCTGATCACAGGCTCTGGTTCTCATGGGGGACTTCAATCACCTTGACATCTGTTGGGAGACCAACACAGCAGTGCACAGGCAATCCAGGAAGTTTTTGGAGAGTGTTGGGGACAACTTCCTGGTGCAGGTGCTGGAGCGACCAACTAGGGGCCGTGCTCTTCTTGATCTCCTGCTCTCAAACAGGGAAGACTTGATGGGGAGTGTAGTAGTGGATGGCAACTTGGGCAGCAGTGACTGAGACAATTGAGTTCAGGCTCCTGAGGAAAGGAAGGAAGGAGAGCAACTGAGTAAGGATTTTGGACTTCAGAAAAGCAGACTGACTCACTCAGGGAACTCATGGGCAGGATCCCCTGGGAAGCCAGTCTGAGGGGGAGAGTAGTCCAGGAGAGCTGGCTGTACTTTAAAGAAACCTTACTGATGGTGCAGGAACAAACTATCCCAGTGTGCAGGAAGAGTAGCAAGTGTGGCAGAAGACCAGTTTGGCTTAACAGGGAACTCTTCCGTGAACTAAATCACAGAAAGGAAGCTTGTAAGAAGTGGAAACTTGGACAAACAACTAGGGAGTATAAGAGCATTGCTTGGGCTTGCAAGGATGAAGTCAGGAAGGCCAAAGTGCAACTGGATTTGCAGCTAGCAAGAGACATGAAGGGTAACAAGGATTTCTACAAGTATATCAGTAGCAAGGAGGATTAGGGAAAGTACAACCAGCTTTTCCTTTTACTAAACTGGGGAGGCAACCTTGTGACAAAGGATGAGGAAAAGACTGAAGTACTTAATGCCTTTTTCACCCAAGTCTTCACAGGCAAGGTCAGCTCCCAGACTACCGCACTTGGCAGTAGCAGCCAACAGTGTCAAAAGAACAGGTTAGGGACTATTTAGAAAAAAACTGGACACATACAAGTCCATGGGGCCAGATGGGATGCATCCAAAGGTGCTGAGAGAGTTGGCTGATGTAATTACAGAGCCTCTGGCCATCGTCTTTGAAAACTCATGGTGAACAGGAGCGGACAATTGGAAAAGGACAAATATAGTGCCCATCTTTAAGAAGGGGAAGGAGGAGGATCCAGGCAACTACAGACCAGTCAGCTTCATCTCAGTCCCTGGAAAAATCATGGAGCAGGTCCTCAAGGAATCCATTTCTAAACATTTGGAAGAGAAGGTGATTAGGAACAGACGGCATGGATTCACCAAGGATAAAGTCATGTCTGACCAACCTGATGGCCTTCCCTGATGAGATGACTGGCTCTGTGGAAGTGGAGAGACTAGTGGACGTGATACTTTGACTTTAGCAAGGCTTTTGATATGGTCTCCCACAACGTTCTCGCAAACAAGCTAAGGAGGTACGGGTTGGATGAATGGACTGTAACTTGGATAGAAAAGTGACTGGATCGGCAGGCTCAGAGGGTAGTAGTCAATGGCTTGGTGTCTAGTTAGCAGCTGGTATCAAGCGGAGTGCCCCAGGGGTCAGTCCTGGGGCCAGTGTTGTTCAATATTTTCATCAGTGACTTGGAAGATGGGATAGAGTGCACCCACAGCAAGTTTGTAGATGACACCAAGCTGGGGGAAGTAGTAGATAAGACAAAACAAATTGGAGGATTGGACCAAAAGAAATCTCATGAAGCTCAGCCAGGACGAATGCAAAGTCCTGCACTTAAGACAGAACAATCCCATGCACCGGTACAGGCTGGGACTGACTGGCTAAGCAGCAGCTCTGCAGAAATAGATGTAGGGGTTATAGTGGACAGTAAGATGAATATGGGCCAACAGTGTGCCCTTGTTGTCAAGAAGGCTAATGACATACTGGGCTGCATTGGTAGGAGTGTTGGCAGCAGATTAAGGGAAATAATTATTCCTCTCTATTCAGCGCTGGTGACGCCACATCTGGAGTACTGTGTCCAGTTTTGGGCCCCCCATTACAGAAAGGACGTGGACAAGTTCATGGGTGACTAGTGCCTACTGAGTCTGGGGGGGCACCCACAGAAGTTGGCGGTGGGGGTGGAGCTGGTGACCTCCCGTAGACACCGCTGTCAGCAGCAGGGACAGCCCTGTTGGGAGGTGGGGCACGTTGAACACCCACAGACGATGGCGAGCATAGCACTGTCGGGGATCTAATTGAAGTGGCCAGCTATGCCACCTCTATCAGTCACCTATGGACAAGTTGGCGAGAGTTCAGCTGAGGGCAGTGGAAATAGTGAGAGGGCTGGAGCATGTGATTTCTGAGGACAGGCTGAGGAAACTAGGCTTATTTAGTCTAGAGAAGAGAAGACTTGAGAGGGGATTTAATAGCAGCCTTCAGCTACTTGAAGGTGGTTCCAAAGAGGATGGAGCTAGACTGTGCTCAGTGGTGGCAGGTGACAGAACAAGGAGCAATTATCTCAAGCAAGGGAAGTTCAGCTAGATATTAGGAAAAGCGTTCTTACTAGGAGGGTAGTAAAGCCCTGGGACAGGTTACCCAGAGAGGTTGTGGAATCTCCATCCTTGGAGGTTTTTAAGACCCGGATAAACAAAGCTTTGCCTGGGATGATCTCGTTGGGAACAGTCCTGCTTTGAGCAGGGGTTGCATTAGATGGCCTCCTGAGGTCCCTTCCATCCCTAATTTTCTATGATTTCTTTGCTTCCATTTCAGATAGATATTTACCCAGACAAGAACTGAACAAGGAGATGAACAATATTCCAAGCCATCTATCCTCTGTTTAACACTAGGTCCAGGTTATCTGTCAGGAATTTTCTCCCACTGCAAGCATCTGAGCAAGTTTGAACACTAGACAGACTTGTCTTCCTGCCCAAGGTTGCACGTCTGAGTTGCTTTGTTACACTCACAAATTTGGCCTGTGAAGACTGTGCTCCCAGCACACAGTGCTCGGTTTTACTCCAACCACATTCCGTTTGGATCCAACTAAGAGCTAGCATGATGATCTTGGTTGTCTCCATGGGCTTTCTGCCCTTATGAGGAGGAGGGAAGCTGCTATCTGCTTCACAGCTTTATCTGTTTGCTGGTAGAATGTCAGTGCATGTGCTGGGTTATTCCTTTCAATTTAGCATTTCTAAACAATCAGAGGAAGGGAACTGAAGGCTAGCCAGAGCTAACAGCAGTCTGTAGTCCTCTGCAGACATTTCAAGTGCAGCATTGGTAGTGGGGCGAGAGCCTACAAAGATTTTTAGTGAGTCAGCTTGAACAATAGAAATGAGATTAACAGGGAGGCCACCTGGCAGCATCACTGGAGTGTGGAGATCAAGCTTTAAGTCCTGGCTCTACTGATGACTTCCTCAAGTTCCTTCACCTCCATTTTCCATAGGCTCCTTTCTGTAAAATGGGATGACGCACTTCAAAAGGTTTTGAGACCTTTGGATGAGAGGAGGTATAGATTGGTGCAAACTATTATTAATGGTGGAAGTTCCCAGTGGTTTGTTCTCTGGAGACATTTTTGGACCAGACCTTGCCTCCAGGGCACCTGCTAGCTTGGGACAGATGAGCAGTGTCCCAAGGTGCATTCTCCTGAAGGGCAGAGGCTTACAGTAGCTTACACAACCAAAATCTTCCTTTTGCCATCCTGAATACTGCTTTCTAGCCCAGGAGGAGCTGTAGTTTACTGATGGGTTTGCTCATGTGTCTGCATACTTGGCTGTACAACCTAATCAGGATGAGAGCACTGCTCTTTTAATGTGCAGAATAAATAGAAAACATAACCTAACAAGTTGAGGTGAAATAACAAAGTTTTTGTTGACATGAGTGAGAGTTGGATTATGTTGCTCCCGTGTGCATTGTGTTAAGGCCACGTTTTTACAGAGAACCTAAATAAGAAATGTTGAAGACTTTATAAGTAAATTTTAAGTGATTGACTTTTTCATATCTCTCTGTCTGTAACACTTGGCTAACGTAATAGCAAGTATTCACCTGTTGCAAACCTCAGAAGGAGAGCAAGCTAGTTTCTAGATCAGGGCTTGACAACGTTTTTGGGCAGAGTGCCCAAAATACTGTAACCTCAACTTGTAAGACGTTCAAGTGCAAGGGGCAGATGGTGGGTGAGCCGCAAGAGGCCCAGTCCTTGTAGTAGCATAGCCATTGCCCCTTCCCTGCCATCTGCCCCTTGATGCATTTGCCAAACAAAATGCCTTTGCGTGCCATGCTCTGGTACCTGTGCTGGGGGTTGCCTACCCCTATTCTAGACTTTATCTGAAAAGATGTTTCACTATGAATAGGGGGGTTGTACTTTTAAATTCTGTTGTCTCAGGACCTGTCAAAGTGCTATTCTCTTAGAAATGTGAGCTGGCACTCTGCTGTGATCAGGTTGTTCTTTCCAACCTCGGTGTTTCAAGATATTGGTCAGTTAAAAGCTCTTGCTGGTTTAGGACTGGATATTGTCTGTATTGTGTATCAAGAACGTTATTATGATGAGGAAATTGTGTTTGTGGGGAAAGAAGACCATCTGTCTATTGGCTGTCTGAAAACTACTGAGAAGCTTGCAGGGTGAGAAAATCCAGGTAGAGATGAATTCTTGGGCAGTCTAATTGAAGTGGCCAGCTAATGATGCAGGAAGGTTTTAATAAAACATCTGACTAGGGGTTGTTGACATCAGCTCAGCACCAAGAGTCACCTTTCTGCAGGCAGTGTTGCTTTGTTTGCATACCAGGTACTACTTATCTTCCTGTTCTGCTTATTTTAAAAAGTGAGTGTTTGTAGCAAAAATGTTGGCAGGTAAGTCTCTCACACAGGAGGCAAGCAGCATGTACAGGCTTCCTGCTTGCATTTGGTCTTCCATGGCAAGTATTAATTTCATCCCGTTCACCTAATGAGAAGGAAGCCAAGTGATTGATCAACTCAGAGGATTCAGTTGCCTAGTAGTGACGTATTCTCCAGTGCTTTTTCTCAGTGCATGGACATCCCAAAGGTTCTTATTGCAGCCTGGCCGCATGAAAGCTGCACTGTTTTTCAGATGCTACAGCACCACTAGTGGAAGAAGGAGAACATGAGGATGGGACTGGAGCTCAGCACCATGTAGAGATTCCTGAAGGAACCACAGGTGAGACTGCAGGAGGAAAAGACTCTGGACAGAAAGTGTTTCAGCGCATGGCTATGCAGTCTTCCTAGGTGCTTATACAGAAGGAAAACGTATTGGAGTCAGAGTTCAATAGTAAATTTGCCAAGCCTTTTGTGGGCACGGTTTGGTTCTAGTGAGTGCATGAGTTCATCTGCTGTACTTTTTTTCTACACACACTGTCAAAACCAAATCTGTACTCTGTCTGCGCGCACATGTCCTTCCCATTACCGAGAGCACCAGGGTCTTTAAGGAAGTTTGCAGCTTCTTATCCCCCTGCCCTCTGTCTCCCTCCTCTACTGACAGCATCATCTTTCTTTTCTGTGCCTGGGGAAGGAGGGCACAAGCCATATCAGGCACTTTTGGGATCAGGCAAGCAGCCATCTAGAGCATCCCCAGAACTTTTAGGATTGTGGAACTTGTAAGCCATATATTTTAAATTTTATCCAGCACTGCCCTAGGTTGCTGTGTAAGAGATGGTAGCAGTCACGCAGGACTTCACTGCTGATCTCCCAGGACTCATGTGTTGTACTGTGAGGAAAGTCGCTGTCTGCCTTGTGAATACCAGCTGAAAGACCACTGGTGCTTGCAGAAGTTCCACGGACGATGGCATCGTTTTAAGCGTAGTACAGAGGCAATTGATTCACCACAGTGGGTGGTGGGGAAACAACTACTCCAGCTCTGCTTTCATTTTCAGAGGCAGAAGTGTCAAAAGGAAGAGGTACTAGAGTACATTGATAAATTTAAAGGCCATTACTTTCCAGACCCAGGTGCTGTACTCCTGAGTTCTGAAAGAACTGAAGGATGAAGTGGCTGAACTCCTAACAAAAATATGTAGTTTCTCATTAAATTAGCGACTGTCTAACTGGAGATTGAACCTACTTTTATTCTTTTAAAGAAGCAGTGGGTTTGTTCCTGGGAATTACTGGTGAGCAAGTCTTTCTTCAGCATCAGGTAAATTGATTAGAAATCAAGTTTTAATTAAAAAAAAAAAAAAAGACATGACTGAGAGACCCAAACCAGCATAGCTTAAGTAAAAGGACAACATGCCTTTAATCAGCTAACAGGTCTTTGAGCATCAGTATAATAACCCGTTTTCATTGGACTGTCACAAAGCTGTTTTGAAAAATTTCTCACTGGTGCTCAGATGTGGGGTCAGAAAATTTGGCATAGAGGCTTTAAAAAAAAAAAAGTGGTGGGTAATTTTTCATTATGGCAAAAATGTAACAGTGAGGTATCCCAAAGTTTTATGTTAGGACTGAAGCATAATACAATATAGGATCTTGAAAGGGAGTAAGTAAAATTTGCAAAAGGCTTAATGTTTTATACAAGCATGTTTAAGGCAAAGAAGACTAATTAGGTGAATGGACGTGTGACGGCAAAGGGAATTCACTGTTGACAAATACAAGGTCATGTACACAGAAAGACCTGCTTTGAGCTGTTCATTTATATTGCTGTGTTCTGAACTAACTGCAGCTGTTCAGGGGGCAAGTAAACAGAGTTAGGAAAAAGACCAGTTCTGCTCAGGTTGCAGCAGCGAGGCAAAAAGCAAACAGGATGGTCTTTGAGTACTTGTCCACGATTATCCTGCTCGAGGTGTAAATGCACCCCCACGTGTGAAATCTGATTCTTTTGGCCAGCAGTGTGTTTTGGGGCCCTACCTGAGCCCTGTTCGACCTCCTGCCCCGCTTCCCTGAGTACTCAACCTTATCTCTTTCACTTACCCCCAGTTTTAGCAGTTAGTACATAAGACTTCTGTTTTTTATAGCCTGTTGGCGGAAATTACTTTGAAACATAATGTTTTAAATTGTAAGGACTGTTTTCACCTTTCCCCCAGTTCTGAGGCCATGTATCCCAGTTTGAATCCAGCACTTGGAGTGAGTTGGCAGTGCCCCTGAATGGTGGGCATTCTGGGTGCTTCCTTGTATATTGGAGAAGCCACATTCCCAATGAGTGGCTTCCTCTCCAGATGGATGCAGTTTGCCTGACCCATTCAACTGAAATTATTTCTGCTGGAGCCAGTCAATAAAGATTGCTTCCAGCTGAAAGAATTGAGAGTTAAGGGTGGCTAATTTATTCCCATTCAGCCAGTATTCTGGTAACTCAAAATACTATGTCAAGTACCTGTTTCCCCTGGTTACTAAAAGGTCCCATGCCTCAGTTTAGAGGTTGCAGTTACTTAGAGGTCAGTTGCTCCTGCTGCTTGAGGTAGGAAAAATCACCACTTCTTTACCAATTAAGAGGAGGTTGAAGACTAGTCATACTTCTGAATTGAATACATTTATGCCTGCAATGCTGACCTGCATCCTGGTTCTACCCGTTAGCAACAACACACTGCCATCTGAATTCAGTCATCAACCAGCCTTCTCATACTGACAGCAAATTACATTGGTATCGTCTGCACAAGATCCAAAAATGAGACCCTCTTCTTTTGGTTTATGCTGTTGTCTCTTGTATTGTCTTCCATGGTGCAGCCCCCTTCAGGACTGGTGACCTTAGTTCCATCTACACACAGCTCAAGACACTTAGCTGTCACAGAATCTAGCTTTCTCAACACTTGGCACACTTCCCACGGTCTACAAAACCTATATCTGTGCTGGAGCATAGTTTACCAGTAATAAACATTTTTACTTCATCATCCTTTTGTTAGCAGTGATGATCATGATCATCTGGGTGCTGTCTACCTTTCTCCTATGAGAACTGCCCATCCTTTGATTTGAAGTTTTACTCCTTGATGTCATCAGGGTATAGCAGAAGCCCATCTCTTGGGTTGTTACTCACTCCTATGGGTCAGCTTGTGAGTGGGAGCTAGAGAACGTGACTTTGGGCCATCTTTCTCACTGTAGGAGTTATGGAAGAGGGAAGGTACCAGAGATCATTCCACTGTGGCCTGACATCCCACATTTTGTGAGATACGGATTTGGCCTTGTTGGTTTTCTTGAAGTCCCCAAGCTTTGTCCTTTGGACCCCATTCTTTCTGACACCCAGGTGTAGTTTGCCTCCTACAGTTCTGGGTTTCCTAGGATATCGCAAGCCTCTCCATGGAATAGCCATCATGAACCAGGGTGGGATATACAGCGCAATTGTGGTGATGGTGCAATGTACTCGCCCTCATATACCTGTTAACTGCTTTGTCCTTGCCAGGTGAAATAGTTCATTTGTCAGTTCTGTCTGGAGTCGATGATTTTGAACCTTTCACATCCTTAGAGCACCTCTTATACTGTCTATAAAAATTCACAAACTATTTCACATATTACACCTGCTAATGAGGGCAGGTTATGGTCTGTAGCTGACCAAGAATATATGGCAAACCCCAGCTTCTTGCACAGCCACTTCTTTAAATAAAAAAGCAAACAAACAAGAGCAAAGTGCCTTTATTAAGTCACTTGAAAAGCATCTGGGAATTCTTATACCCTGCTCATTTCAAGTTCTTTAGTAGCTGCAGGTTTGCAAGAATATAAAATGTGACTGTCATTGGCTCACACCTGAGAAATCCGAAAATGTGAATCTGTTTGGTAAAGAGGTGTTTTTTTCTGCATTTTCAAGACAAGCTTTGTTAGTGAACTAAAACTCCCATTCAGAGGCTTTCTTTTAATATGTGGACATACTTCTAGTGGACTTAAATGCTGAACCATTTATACCAATGGTCACCTGCCAACAAAGCCTCTCAAGGGACTGCTCTTCATGTCCTGATAGACAACACTGCTGGGATGTACTCACAGACCACACCACTGCTGTGTGCTGCATTAGCAGGCAACCTGGAGTGGAGCATCCATTCTGTCAGACAGCTGCTCATCTTCAGGATCAGTGCACACATCACAAGGTAAATCTGTTAGCCCTGTACAAGGGGTCAGAAACTGGTGGCATGCATACTAGACCGTGGCATGTGAAGGCATTTTGCTTGTCACATATGTCTTGGAGTGGATGGTGGGAGAGCCGCGAGAAGCCTGATCCTTGTTGGGGCAGTGTAGCCCTGGTCTCCTCCTCGCCATATGCCCTAAGGTGTATCTGCACCTGCTACTGGCAGTGAGCTGGGCCAGGGCTCCATGGACCCTGGTGCAGCTGCTTGCTGCCTGCCATAGTTGGCCTGGGCTGTGGGTAGGCCCCTGCCACCCACCACAGAGCCCAGACTGCTCATAGCAGGTGGCATGGAGGCTGCAAGCAGCTGCACCGAGGTCCACAGAGCCCTAGCCCGGTTTGCTGCCAGCAGCAGGTGCACACCTGCCTCAGGGTGGATGGTGGGAAAGGGGCCAAGGCTGCACTGCCACAACAAGGATTTGGCCCCTTGCAGCTTCCCTGCTGTCTGCCCCTGGCATGCCAACATCTTACAGATTGAGGTTAGTTGGTGTTTTTGGCACTCTGCCCAAAAATGTTGCTGACCCCTGCCCTATATTAAACAGACTTGGGTATAATCTGGCAGATCAGCTCAGCTGGAAGTGCCTTCCCACTAGCAGAATACTCAAAGACGATCCTCAATCAGGACTTGATATTTTTACATATCAGCTTGTGTGTTCCCATGATAGCTAATTGTCATCTGCCTTGTGGGTTCATTCTTGACTCAGTGGCACAGAAACCTGCTTTGTGCCTTCTAGCCAATTCCCAAAGGCTTAAGAAAAGTAAGACAAGACAGAGGCCTGGTAAATACAAATAATGCCATCATGGACATATGTCAGTTCTCCAGAGAAAAAACCACTGGGAACTTCCACCGTTAATCAGTAATGGTTTGCACCATTCTATAGCTCCTCTCATCCAAAAGTCTCAAAACCTTTTGAGGTGTGTCATCCCATTTTACAGAAAGGAGCCTAGGGAAGAGGAGATAAAAACTTGAGGAAGTTGCCAGTTGAGTCAGGGCCTAAAGCCTGATCTCCACACTCCAGTGATGCTGCTAGGTTCCCTTCCTGTAAATCTCATTTCTGTTGTTCAAGCTGAGACTTGCTTCTTCAGCTCAGCCATCCCCTACATCTTTCAGAAGTTGTTTCAGAAAATTTAGTCTGATCCTGTGCCTGAACTCACGGACATGGCACATGACAGCAGAAATATTACTTGTCTGGGTGTAGCAGAACAATACTTGTTTACTGTATGAGAAGCCTTATTTTTATGAATCAAACTATAAGCCTAGCATAAAGCAAAGTGGAAAAACTTTGTGTTATCAGCTGCTTAGTGCCATTGTTGCTTCAGTGTCTTTTCTTGTTATCCTGGTCCATTCATTGCCTTTTTGGGGCTCTTGGGATTTTGAATCTGATCCATGTGGTTCTACCACTGGGGGAATTTTCTTGTCCAGGTTTGACCCTGCCATTTCCTGGGTCAAACCTTAGGTCCATTTAGCCCAGCATTGTCTCACACAGGGGCAGGGCTTGGATGTGAGAGAGAGGGTGAACAGGGTATCTAGAGTTTTCCACCCCCCACTCCTCTTCCACTGCAGCTTCCAGCATTCAGAGGTTTAGGATCTTAATGTGGGTCTCCTTAACACCAGCAAGACCCCTTCTCACTTTTTAGCCTCTAGCTTCTTGCTCCTTCTACTGTCTCTCTCTTTCAAGACTGCATGTTGGTGGCCATCATTACTGCTTGAAGTGAAGAGTGAGTTTTAAGCATTAATGACAGCACTCCCTCATACTGTTTCGCAAAGATAAGGTGAGTCTGATCTTTCTCAAAGTGGTCCCTAGATTTCCCCCTCAGTTAACACATACAGGCAGTCCTCGACTTCCAGCGTTTCGAGTTACGTTTTGCACTTACAATGTTTATAAATTGACACCCTGTTTCAACTTTACAACGCTTGATCCGATGTGATGCCCACCTCCCTGGAGAACATCTGTCCAAACTTCCTTGGATAGTTTCTTTAAGAAAGCCAACAAAGTCTAGAAAAACCTGCAGCCAAGACTCCTGAGAAGACTCCAGCAAAGAACCCTTCAAAAAGTCCAACCAGGAGCCCTTCAAAAGTCCGGCAAAGTCGCCTCAAAGAAATCCTTCCAAATCAATATGATTGCCATTTACAATATAAATACATTAATGTAGCTATATTACTCATCTATAATAAATTGAGTACAAAATTCTGGGTTATTTTTGGTGAAAATAGGGTATTGGGCCTTGGTTCAGGAACCAATCCCCCATTTATAACATTGTTTCCTATGGGAAAATCAGTTCTGAGTTACAGCGTTTTGACTTGAGACGCGGTTTTCAGGAACCAATTGTGTCATAAGTCTGAGGACTGCCTGTATACCTATTGCCTTCTTTTCTACACCATATTCAGCTCAGAGGAAACAAAACACCATTAAGAACATGCTCTCAGCTACCTGTGTAGAACAAAACCTCTTCAAACACTTCTCTGACAATTAGTAGTTTCGGGAGATGGGTCCAGAGGCCAAGTTGTCTCAATCCAGAAGCTCTGGCAAGGACTATTGGAGTAGATTAAGATTTCCCATGGAAACAAAACAAATTAGCTTTAACTTTTCTGCTTAAACTGTGTTCTACTAGAGCCCAAACAATTTGTTTGGCATGTTCAAGGAATGTCCCCATGTAGAAATATACTTGCTGCTAAAAATCGGATGTTTGGACTGATAAGAGACTCCTGCAGTCTTTTAGTAAGACTCCTAGGGAGTTAGCTGCTAAAATGCAATCTGCATGGACAAGTAATAATCACAGAAAGAATGGTTACTTTCCTTATAGAAACTGTGGTTCACTAGGGCATCCATCTGGACAAAACATCCCAGAATGCCCTTCTTTGCTACAAATGTGGAGTACATGTAGGATCTTGTGAGTGTGAACATGTATTCACTGTGGTGTAACTCTATATGGGGTTTGCATACTGGTGCAGCACCAGTGTCAGAAGAGGCCAACATGCTGCTGTCTCATGATAATAGGTGCCATTACAGCACCTTGCCACTGGGTGGTGTGGGAGTAGGTAATGATCTGCATTTTGTAGACAGATGAAGCCTAAATTAATGCAACTTACACTACTGGAGTTTTAACTCTCATTCTTTCAGAAGAAATTCTTAACCATATTGTGTTACTTCAGTTTGTCTGTCCACAGTCTGTGCTTCCAGAGCAACTAAGAAGCAGTTGTATTTATTTTGCCCTTTATGCCCTGTGAGGGATGAAGATAGTGGTTGTATTTATATTATTGTTTATGTACTGGTGTCAGCTCAGCTCTGACCTATCTTACGAAACCTATTGTTGTGTCTGTCTTTTTTTTTAATCTTTTAAATTTACCCTCAGGCATTTTTAGTGTAGTGCTAGAAATGTTCAGGATAGCCGTTTCGCTGTGCAAAAGGACTTTTCTTGCACCTCAGTTTTCAGCCCCTTCCTCTGCAGTATCAAGTCCTGGCCAATGTCATCCAGGGCTTGATCAGATGAAGCCTTACCTTGATTTAGCATGACAGAATGACTAATGGTGAATCCATTGCAGTTAAGTTTTATCTGCCATTCTGGTACAGCATGGCCTTGTTCAGAGCCTCTGGCATAATGGTACCTCTGGTTCCATTATAGCTGGAGTTAAGAGGTGGGGGAAAGGTGGGGGGTTTGTGAATATTTTAATCCATCTTTTGCATCTGTTTTCTTTTTCTTGTGAACAAGCTGAGGAAGCAGGTGTGGGAGCCACTCCTAACCTTGAAGACCAAGCTGCAGGAGACATCGCTGAAGGTAAGTGAAGTACTTGTTCTTTGAAAGTAGTGAAACAGAAACCATGCCTAGGCACAAAGCTGGCATTTTGCCAGCAGTTATAGTTTTTTCTCCTGTAATGCTGCTCTTCCTAGCTGCACCAGCAGCTATGCAGTTCTCCCTATCTCTACCAGGAAAAGGCAATATGCTTTAGGTGTCACCACCATTTTTCTTTGGGGGAACCATAGCTTTTCATCCAATTGCATTCTTCTCTTAGGCAGCTGTGGCCTAAGTTCTAGTCATCTTTCTATATTGGCAGACAGATGGGCATCTTCCACTGTGTAGAAGGAGGCTTCATCCTGTGAAAACCGAAGTCTTGACCCTGTGGATTTTAGCCAGAAGGAGTGTCATTCTTCTGTAAAATGACCCCCCCCCGCCCTCTTTTTTTAACTGTGCAGTGCCGCTGGTTTGCTTTTTGAATCTGTGCACGGAGTTGTCTATCTTCATATCACTATGTCTAATTTTCACTTTACATGTGACGAAGTTGGCACCCATTATAAGTCTAACTTAGCATTTCATCTTCAAATCAGGCATGTTTTTGTACTTGTTTTAATACTGAAGTGATAAGTACTTCTGTAGACCCAGGTACATAGACCTAATTTACAAAGCTAACCACTGTGCCACACAGTGTATCTACATAGAGAGAGATCTTTTGCATCTTCTTAACTGAGCTGACAAAAGATCTGTTTAATGAAGGGGATATACTAACTTAAAGTATGTGATCTGAAAAGGCTTTTCTTGTCTGTGCTGAACTTACATTTGACTGAAATTCCAGGTGGGATTTTCAAAAGCACCCAGTGCTGGTCTAACTGCATTCAGAGGGAGCAGAGATGAGCCATCATCAAATGTTTGGAAATTTCACCCCTTTGTCACTTGACACAGTGAGAACAGGAGGCTGCATGCACTCTAGATTAGAAAGCTGTCATGATCACTCACTCCAACTTGTGCTTTTTGGCATCACACTCTCTTTTTAAACCTGATTTAAATCCTCATTTTTGAGACCCTTTTCTAGGTGGCATAGGTACCAAATAAATTTCTGGATCAGTGCACATTACATGTTCTTCCTTAGTGCTGTGCTCCTAAGCTCAGAAACACACACTGCTTGTACAGCTGAGAACAGTGTGCTCTGATGTGGTTGTGATTTAGCAAAACAAAAAACCAGCCTTTATCTCTTCAACTCAGGCCCAAGCTCATCTTTTTCACTTCCAAGTATCTGCTAGTTTGTTCCTACTCCACTCTCCAGCAGAAGCTTTTAGTCCATATCTCAAAACTTTTCAGCAGTTCTTTGATTGGCAGATCCCACATGCAGGTGGGCCAAGGTGAGACTCATACAGGGTGCAGTAGATCAGGGTGGAAGGTATTAGCACAGATGTGGGGTAGGCTGTGCTCAGTGCCTGCAATTCTTTCTCTCCACCTCTAACCGTTTTTCTTTATCGCCAGATTTCAGTAGACTTCCTTTTTCTGTGCTATGTACTAGGAATTTTTCTGTAGTAAATTGTGGCTTCCCTGAAAATGGAATTTTAAAAGGGGCAGCTCCTTTTAATGGTGATACAATTATTGTCTTTGAATTACCAAAGATAGATCTGATTGGTGACACACACCTGTGGACATGCATAACTTTTTGACCATCTATTACACTCTCTCCATTTAATTAGAATAACAAATGGATTATGGAAATGTGACCAAAGAATTCACTGGGTATGTCTGAGTAGTACATTCAGTAATACACTAGGTAATACATTCAGTTTCTTTTCAGGAGATCTCCAAGCCAACAGGCTCTTGCAGGCAGGGTTACTAGTATCTATGGAGTGCCCTCTAGTCATAAAGAGTTTGCCACTGCTTGCCACTGGTTTTCACGTGTTTTTGCCAGTTGCTGAAAATGCTATGTCTGCCTTCAGTCACCAGTTAGGGGTCTCCTTGGTAGCGATTTCATTTAGCCATTGGATTTTTTTAAAAACTGTTTTGATATGAGACTCATTCAGTAGTGACTTTCATTTCTGTCATTTGGGTTTGGTTGACTTGACGTTTCAGAAGCCCAACCCAGGTTTTCTGGTTTGGTAGACCAAGGCATAAAAGAATCCGGTGGCTGAAATTGTGGAGATACACACATTCAGAATACTAGGGCTACCCACTTTTGACAGAGTATTTAACAGTTAGGACAACTTTCCTAAGGATGTGGTAAATTCTCCATCATTCAATCTTTGCATCACAACCAGTTGCTTCTAAAGCACCTGCTCCATCTCAAGTATTGGGTTTGATACAGTGTTCACTGGGTGAAATGCCATGGTCTGTGTTGTGTAGTAGGTTAAGAGTAGATCAAAGTGGTTCCTTTCGCTCTAAAAGTGGAGGCTTCGTTGTTATGATACTGGTTCCTCTAAGTGAATAATGGAGCGAGAATCATAGAGACTGTGTTTTTGGGCAGCCCTTTTCTACTATGCCCTCCATCCTGTCTACCAGGGCCGCCTTTCTGGTGGAGTAAACAGGCTATTAACATATCTTTGAATTAGAGTAAAATACTTGTGCTGTCCTGTCCAGGGAGCAAGCTTGTAGTAGAGGAAGACATGTTCTTGAGAAGTGAAGTAAAGATGTTTTGAATTCTGACCATTCCTTACATGGGATGAGTTGACCAATATAGCATGGTGTTACCAAACCAAAGCCCTCTGAACACTTCTGCCAACTGGAAGTGGAAGCTGGTGCCCTTAAGGAGGATTTGTTTTTAATGTAAATTTATAAAATGGGGAGGGATGGAGATAGAATATCTATCCTTTTTTTGTTGTGGTCCCATACTGCAAGGACACATGGTCACACAGCAAGATTCAAATGAATATATTCAAAGAAAATAAAAGCAAACCAGTGTTTTCCTTGGCCTGTGGTTAACCTGTAGTAGTTGCTTCCACAAGAGCTAATAATCCAACACTCTTTAGTAGAGTTTAGATAGTTTGGTAACTTTTATAAAAATGCAGAGTCGTAGTAGTTTTCAGAGAACATTAATCCAATATCAGCCTTCATGGCATGCATTCGTTGACCATGTCCCTGGAGAGAGAGGGCGGGGCAGGGTAGAATCCATTTGCTCCACCCACCCTATCCAACATTGCCTACCTAAAACCACATCAGTATAGCACTGGAGGAGGAGGAGAGGTGACTTCCTCTGAAAAAATATAGCGTGGGACACAGGATAGTGTAGATTTGGAATGGCAAAATCCTGTGTTTGATTCAATGCTAACTCTTTCCAGAAATGGAGCAGGCAGTCGGAATTGACAGGTGGTGTAATGTGTACCCTTAAAGCAACGAGTGCTGCTGATTTTAGGACAAAATATACCTTCCCAAAAAAACTGCAGTATTGAACTCACTACTGCACACGTGATAGACTTGATCATTTGGGGTTGTAAAAAAGTCCTTGAGTTTCTCTTTAATATTGCAAGAATGACTTTCCATTGAAAAACCTTTGCTAACTCTTTGCCACATTTGCTATCCTGCCTCTTCAACTCCAGAGGAGCTGAGCTCTCCCAAACTAGAGGAGGGTGTGGAACCTGGGCTACAGGAGCATTTGGCAGATGAGATAAAAAAGGAAATTCAGCCAGGAAAACGAGCAGAAAAGGTTCTTAAGGAGCCTCATCCCCTTTTACGTGGAAGGCCGGCTGGAGAACAGGCAGCAACAGCTCCTACCAGAATTGAAATCAGAATACCAGGGCTCACAGATGTGTCCAAAGACTTTAGCACCTTGGAAGAGAGTGAGGAGGTTGTCTCCCGATCGCTGTTTAATGAACCATGGGACATTGGGGGCAAAGAGGGCATCGCAGTGGATAAAGTACCATTAGCTGAATCGGCTCATAGTGTGCCCTTTGAAGGATTTGTACGAGCAGCAGCAGTTCCTGAGTTATTGAGCAGCCAAGGAGGTGAGTGGAGCTCTCCTGAGGAACTCATTGCCGAGCCTGAAAAATGGCTCCCAGGGGTTGATGTGGTAGGATATGATCAAGTAGTTGACAGTGACCTTGTTAGAGACAGGCTGTCACGTCTGCATGCCAGAGGCAAAATAAAAGAAGATGCTGTTGGGCAGGAAAAGGATGAAGACCATGACATTGATGAAACACTTCAGCAGGATTCACTTCCCTCACCAGAGCAGAAAGTTTCCCTGATGCGTGAGGCGTGTATCTATCCAGGAGCATCCAAGAAAGCTCTTGAGGCACATGTTTTTCCAGTAGAAAGCATCCCTAGCGGGGAGCTTGCTGCAGCATCTAGACAGGCTCTCAGTATTGAACACAAAGCAGGTCTGGCCCATGATGAGGACAACCAGTCTGTGTCAGAGGGCAACCATGATGTCACCAAGAGGAAGCCCTCTGAAAGCATCTACCAAGTGGAAGTGGAAGCAGAAGCTTGTGTCCTTGGGGAGGGGGAAATCTCACAGTTGCAACAAGCAGCAGCTAAACTTTCAAATAGTTTGCAGACAGATGTGGATAGCCAACATGTTCCCTTGGCAGAGGAGGCAGGGAGCATCTTCGAGACTGTGGGAAAACAGACGCCCAGAAAGAGACCTGCAGCTCACGTATCAGAGAAGCCAGTCAGTCGTGTTCCTCTCTTAAAAGGTGTGTGCCTCATTTCCCTGCCCCAAGCCTGTCTCTCCAGTGACTTGATCAAGGCAAGGCTGCTCAAACCACTCCTGAGCTTACAGGCAACCCCTGAATCCTGCTGCTTGAAAAACCTCCAAGGATGTTCATTATGAACAAACCAAGAGAGAGTGGCTGCTTTTCCCCCTTAGTTTAGTCCTGGCCTCTGATGCTTGGGTGCGTCCGCTGCTCACTCATGCTTCTGTTGCACGTTCTCTTGCATGGATGCTGACACCCCCTCCCCTCATCATGCTTATTCTCCCTTTTGACTTCAATAACCTTGGATTTTATCCAAGCTGCCAGGCAGGCACTGAGATGCCAGATGTCACTCGACACATTCATAGGAGAGAAGATGGTTTAACTGAGACTTGCTTGGGTAGTAGCCTTGCTTGAGTAATGTCAATACAGAAGGGGTTGTTGCATTATAACTGTCGCGAATAAAGCATATACAGTCTCGGGTATGTTTTACCAATCCCCGGACCTCCCAGCCAGTCCTTCATATCAGCTTTTTCAAAGGTGGGAAGGGAGGAGGAGTATAGCAGGTGCCCTTGGTTTCCAAGCTTAGTTTTACTTGCATCACTAGAAAAATTTTAAGAAGATGCCTGAGTTTTGAGTGTTACACTGCCAGGGTGTGCTATAGCTTGCTTTGGTGTGTCCAAAGCCATATGTACTGAGAAGCACTGACCCTTCAAATGCTGATATGTTAGTAGTGCAGCTTGATCATTTTAGCTTCTAGACGTCGGAGTTCATGCAGTAATCTCAGCCATGAATATCAGGGGCAGGAATCTAAATTTAACCCCATAGAGCCCAAATGCCTTTCTTAGCATCAGGCATTTTTTTTTTTCCATATTAGAACTAGCCCTCCTTTTGCTGGAGACCCAGAATCATAATGAGACCGTGGGAGATTCTGACCAATGGTCAATGTTATGCTTTGTCTTAATCAACAGTTGCATTGAGGTACATGTGAAAATCCATTTACCCACTAGACTGTTACTTTGTGTGTCTTGTCTGAGTGTGTGTGTGTATTTTGGAAAGGGAAACGTAAATCCTTTTGGGGCCAGTCCAGACCATGGGTCTACTGCTCTTTTATGTATGCTTACCAAGAGCCTCTGTTGAAAATCACATTTAAATGCTGGTAGCCTTCTTATACTACTTGCAATTCCTAAATGCTGTCTTGGCAGGTCTAGCCTGGGCAGTCTTTCTGAAAATTCAGCTCATAGTCTTTTTCACTACCTGAAGAAAATTGTGCATGAAGCGCTGGGTTGCAACAATAAGCTAAACCACTGCTCCCCGTTACCATATGGGGTCGGTAGTGAAGGTCAGAAGCTGTTCTCAATGCAGCTTTTTCCATTAGAGTCAAAGCCCATCACAGATAACTCACTTGCAGTTATGTAACAAACATAAAAAGCTTCTGACAGGTGTGGATGTTACCACTAGTACCTATGAGGTAATGGGTAGAAAGGCACTACATTTGTCTCTAAACTGGAGTGGATGGTGTTTTAGATGTGATGTACTTTGTCACCAGTGTCTTATTGAGTAGCAGGGGTATAGCTGGTCTAAAAGATATCAGATTTAGCTAAAGAACTTTGTCTGATGTAGTAGCAAGAAGGGAACAAGTTTAAGCATTTCTCACTTCAAACAGAAAATCTTTGTTCTTATCTCTGCTCTCTAGCGCCATTGCGCAAGGCACTTTCACTATTTTGGGTAAGCAAAGGACATAGAGTGACTTTAGGACAGCGAATAGTGTGAAGGTTCAGGGTGATTGTTAGATCTATGCTGGTGAATGTCTTTGTTGATTTCTTTGACGTTTACCGATATGCTAGAACAAATTTCCAAAGGTGGGGTGGCGGGGTGCAAATGTCAGCTGTTTTTCCTTTCAGGTTAGGGAGGAGCTTTGTTACTAATTGGAAAAAACAGACTTGGTAATTCGCATTATAACTGACTACAGATTTTACACTCTGCTTCTAAATTCTTTATTTCTGGTTCTGTTGTGCTTATTATAGTTTGTGGACTAATACAGCAAAACAATGGGGCGCAGTCCTTCTGATTCTGCATGAATCATGTTTAAATGGCTTTCGTTTGGGCTAGAAAAGGTCTCGAGGGATCTTGCAGGTTCTAAATGGAACCATCAGAAATGAGAGATGTGAGCAAGACAGAATAGTGCATTGAGAGATGAAAATTGAAAACCGATTTGAATAAAATTGCTTTTCAAAGTAACAGTGAACCATGATTTTGAAATAAGAGTAGGCAGTTCAACTATTTAAGGTCTTCATTTACATCTCTAGTTAGGTCTGAAATTCAAATTTGTTGTCTTTGTGCCTAGTGCTAAAAATATTACCTGCTTTTGTTTTTGAGAGCAGAGGGAGCAGACTTTTTGCCTGAGAAGGGAGCTTTTTTTTTTCTAAACTAGATAAATACCTTCTAGGCAAGAATGGCCTGGGACAAAACCTGCTGCATGCTTCCAGTGCTCCAATAGATACTCTAATGCATCAGCTCCTATATTGAGACTAATCTGTAACATGGCAAGAATACCCAAAGAGTGGAAGTCACTTTGCAAGAACCGTATTTTTTTTGATAGATGACAATTTAACTTAACTGAGAGCAAAAACATACCTTAATGCATGTGAATATAACACAGGCGTTATCTATTTGGAATCCATTTAAGATCCCCAAGAACTTGAAATTTGTGTTTTTATTTGCATTTCATCAGCTCGTGTTGATGGTAAAGAAAAAGATGGGACTGCTGAACAGAAAAAACCTAAGGTAAGCTGACAAATATATGAAATAACAGTGTAAAACCACTAACCTCCTGTATGTTCTTGACTCTCTCTATCCAGCAGTTGTTGACATAAGCTTGTTATTAAACCTTGCCATTTATTTTCCAGTTTTCATTTCCTTTGTGCTTTTGTTTTCATCTCCCCCTCACTTACTGTTAAAGGTGCAGCCCTTTTAAACTATGAACTCAGTGGCTTTTAGCATTCAGCTGCTTTTCTTGCTCTGAGAAGAACCCTGAGTATTTAGAGTAATGGTTCTCTGAGGGTTGAACTCCAGGCTTCTGATCAGAGTTTGTGTTAGCTGCATGGATGCAAAACTGGGTAAAATCTACTTGCAACTTTGGGGCCCTGATTTCCAAGTTGTGCAGCTCTGCACTAACTCCCCACACTGGGAACAAAAAGTAAAGAAAAAAAAGATTGAAGCAGGGCATGTTCTTAGTGACAATATAAAAACAACTGTCTATATCTGCCAGCATGGTGTGATTAAATTATACCAAGGCTAATACTCTGTAAATTCCAAAAGACTTTTTGAAAGTGCTGATATTAAGCTGATATTTAAAAGTAAGTTGAGCTGCCTTCCTGTAGGTCGGTTTGCCTCGCAACAATTCTAGACAAATAATGGAAAAACGGATACAGGATTTAATTAATAAAGAATTTAAGGAATAGGACAGTCTACATGGAAAGTGGGTTTTGTCAAATCTGACTTCATTCTTTTGAAGAGGCTGCAAGTTGGGTTGATAAAACTAATTTGCATGTAAAATAATTAGGCTTTTGTAAAGCCTAACGTTCAATCCTGATTCAAATGTAGCACTGCACAGGGTGAACAAAAGTCTATGTCGAATGCGTTGAGAACTGTAATTTGACAGACCTCAAAGCAGTGCTTAGAGGGAAACATCATGAAAAGGGGGTGTTTCTAGTAAGGGTTCCCAGGGACCTACCTAGTACCAGGCTTGACTGTGATCAACTTTTGCTTCAGTGATCTGGAAGTGAATATAAAATCACTATAAAATTTTCTGAAGATGTAAAACTTGGTGAAACAGGAAATAATGAGGACGGGCTGTCACACCTAGAGAGTGCAGGCATATGGTGAGCTGGGGCCATTTAAAAATAAAAAAAAAGGTGTATTCATATAGCCATATGGAAAACGCATACATGTTGGTGCAAGGGATGCCGGTCAGATGAACAGAATGGGGATGTCAATATTCTGAAAAGAAGTGACTGAAAAAGATGTAGGGCTCATAGCAGGTCATTCATCCAGAAAGCTTTTGTAATCCTGGATTTAGGCATCCAAGGAGTACCGAGTAGGACTAAGGAAGTGATTGTAGCTCTAGATGCAGTATTGGGTACGGCTGATTTTCTTGGAAAATCATATAACATTCTTGCATCCATGTATTGAAAAGGATGTTGAAAAGTTGGGCAGGAAGATTTGGAAGAAGGCCACAAGGTGCTTTGATGGCTGGAGAAACAAATGCCTCGTAGTATGAGGCTTAAAGAGCTTGATCTGTTCAACAGGTTGAGAGGTGATTTGATTGCAGTGTCTAAGTACCTTCATGGCAAGAAGAGAATTATTGGTCCTAAAAGGCTCTTCAGATCAGTGGAGAAAGGCAGCAACAGCAGCAGCTGGTAGCTGAAACCTGACAAATACAAATGGGAAATAAGGCATTTTTAGCAGGGTGACTAAACTTGGGAGCAAGATAGCAAGGGAAGTGGTGGCTGCTGCAGCTCTTTTCTTCAAATAAAGACTGGATACCTTTCTGGGAGCCACGTTTAAGCCAAAAAGGAGTGAGCTGTGTGTGCAGTACAAAGGGAACTGGGGGAAATTCTGTGGCCTGTGATATCAGGAAGCCAGGGTAGACAGTTCGATGATCTTTTCTGACCTCCAGCTCTGTGAATCTTGGGAAGGATATCCCACTTAATGGCAAGAACTTTTAAAACCAAAACTTCAAGTAGCAGCTAATTGGAAGGGTATTTGTCCTGCAAAAATGCTGCTTGGTGCTTGTTCTGAAATAGATTAAACTACTAGAGGACTGTGTGTGCTCAGCAGGTAGGACTGTTGCACCTGGGGAAGCATGTGCACCAGGAGAGCTGCCTGCTCCAAATTCCTTTGTGCTTTCTGAATTCCAATTGCTATTCGGAGAGCCATATTTTTGTACCATCTTGGCTCCCAGTGGGAGCTGCAGGGCATGTTAGAAAATTTGGTCCCAACTGTGTATGCTGCACTACCCGACAATCCAGCACTAGGCTGTCTGACGTCTGTCAGGACAGCTGCTTTTGTGTCCAGGGCATGCCTGTTGTTGAAGGACTGAGGGATGAGTCTGGACATCTACTGTTCCCTGTACGAGAGGTTAAGTATTGAGGGAGATGTCGCCTTGGCAGCACAGAGCTGGGAGCAGATTATTATACTGTTATTAATAACCAGCCTGGCTAGTTTAAATCTGGCTCTGGCACATCTGCGTGAGCTGCAGTCTGACTGCAGTGTGGACCTAACAGACTCCTTTCCACGTGAGGCATTGCACCTTTGAGCTCCTTGCCATTCTTCTTTAATTTTAACCATTGTCCCCTCAGTCATTTTTTTTCCTCATGCTGATTTTTTTCTTAATTTTATTTTGTTTACATGTTTTAAGACATCCACACCTTCCTCTGCCAGCACCCTGAAAGATAGACCCTCCATTACCCCCAAACGACCCTCCTCTGTTAGTACAATCCCTTTGAAAATACCCTCCAGCCCTGCTGAGTCCTCAGTACCAGCTTCCAGTCCTAAACGAGTCTCTTCTGTCACATCCGGACTCGCCAGTACAGGAATGAAAGAAACAAAGCCCAAGGTAAGAAAATGGGTGATAAGGGAAGCAACACAGCATTTAAAACTAACTGAATTGCCGATTCCTGATGGAGTCTTTCTCCCTACCAGGTCTGGCAGTATTTAATTAGCTCAGCATCTCTCTCCACAGTGTGGTGCTAGCTAGAAGCCTGTGCAATCTCTTGCTTACTTCACATTAATAAAAGAAGTGGGTGGGTGGGACAGAAAATCCCTCCAACCAAGATTGTAAATGACTAGTCAGGAATGGCTAACTAACTGTTCCAACTTGTTTTACAGATGGCCAGAAATGTAAAACCCATGTCTTTACAATAGGTGTTTTTCAAAAAGTAACAATAAAAAGTAGCAATATTGCCAGGAATCCTCTTCTGTCCTTGGTAGCAGGGAGGGCTTCGGAGTACTCCTGAGGGGAATTTTGTATTTTTAGTGTTTTCAGAGCAGGTGGGTCTCTCATCTGCGCACAGTCTCCTTTGCTCTGCATTGGAAGAAAGGCTGGTTTTTAAAAAACTTCTCCCTCTTGTGCAGGGGGATTATATTTTGTGCCTCAGCAAGGCATTTATATACCCTCCTGTACCCCTCCTTGTTCACATTGCTGCAGTTTGTGTTAAACTTGATGCATGCATTATTAGACCCACTGTTCACTTACAAGGCTGAGCATGAAATCTACTGGAATCAGTTCTTCCAGGTGACAAAATTATTCAAGAAACATCACGCTGCACACACCCTCTGCTTCTGTTAACAAGCTCTTGTTAGAAGTAGCATGTCTGGTGGGAAAGAAGGGATAGAGGTTGTTTAAACACCAGGATACACTTCTGCCATGATAAGGAACTTAAGCTGACCAGGTCTGATTTTCTGTTACACAGGCACAGATTGCTCCAAGCCTGGCTTATGTTTTTTTAAGTGAAAGTTTTACAGTTGGAGCAAGCACAAGAAATAGAGAAATTACTTTCTAAATGCATAGCTCTCCACATGATATTTTCTGTATAACAACATACATAGTTGTTTCACTTAGAAGCATCTGTGATCCATCTGAATTAAACTTACATGTCCAATTCAGTGCAGATGAATTGGTTTTTCTCTCCTCCTCCATACAAGTTCTTGTACTTGTAAAGGGAAGATGAATGAATGAGCTATTTTGCTTTGACAGTGCAAGAGTTTGGGGGACTGAAGAAGAAGACAGATTTATTTTTGACCAGGCATGACTTGTTCAGTAGGTAGGATAGAAAAGCAGTTCGTGGTATTGGGTAACTCATAAGATGAAGAGCCTGCCTGGGGGAGTGGCACGGCAGGTGGGTTTCCCTGTCAATCTAGATAGGACTGGCTGTGGGATTTTCAGGCACTGGGATGGCGCAGCCTAGGCAGTGTCATAGAGGATGCCTGCTAAATGGTCGTGACCCATGGCTGTATATTGGACGCCTTTATGAAAGATGCTGATTCTTCTGCCCTAACCTAATGCTATGGTTTAGGATAATGATGGGGCAGGAGCTGAAGACAGATTTCCTGTTCTATGACCTCTGAGGCAGGGGAAAAGACTAAAAATCTTGACAGTTTCGCTTCACTTGGTGGTTGGTTTGTTTTCCCCTGGCAGCTGTGAACTGTACAGTAAATGTTCTTCCCTGATTCTGTCACCAGGGCCTGGAGATGAAAAGTGGAATGAAGATGCCCACCCCAAAGTCTTCAGTGGCACAGGCTCAAAGAAGCCCCGCCAACGCTAGCAGGATCCCAGCAAAGACTCCCACAGCCCCCAAGACGCCTCCCACCACTGGTAGGAAGGAAGGCAAGCTGCATACAGCAGAATCTCCAGTTGGGTTTCCAGCAGTGTCTCGGAGAGGCTGGACTCTGATCCCTAGACTTTGTATTTATTTTGGAACATAATATTTCATAAATCAGCTTGTCTGGAATCTGCATTGTATCCTCTGCACCAGGAGCAAGGTTCTCTCTGAGCAGTGCTGTAAATGCCTTGAGTCTGAGCATGTGTGGAGCTGAGATGTGCAGAGAATCTACCTGTGTTGTGATTTTGATTCATGGCTCCGAGGGTACAGGTAGTGCAGCCATGCATGTAATTAAGGAGCGATTCCCCTTTTATCTGGGGAAGATGATCTGTTTGAGGCTACTGCAGCATCCAGCAATGCAAAACTTCATGCCAATGGATTCAGATTGGGAAAGTGATGTGCTTTTTTGGCAGTGGGTTCCAAGTGAATTATTCAGAATGAATCTCCCCACTATGGTGAAATGTCCTCAGCATCTGGAATGTTGTCACGAGAGAATGTGCCTTGCGTGGTGTGACACGGAGCAGTAAGGAGGATGGTGAGGCAGGAAATAAATGCAGTACTTTGCCTACTTGTGTCATGTAGTGCCTTAGCTATTGGAGTCTTGTGCAGTGCCAAGTGATCTCTAAACACAGAGGCTTCTCCTGTTAGGGCACAGTTTACAGATATGATTTGGTTTTCTGGCCTCTGCATATTTTGGAGTAAGCCTACAACTTGTTCACAAGATGTGGATAATAATACTGATTGCATGGCACTGTGTCATATACTGAAGGATAGTGTCTAAGGGTGTGGACAGACAGAACAATTGAAATGTTTCCTGGTGAAATTTAGCCCGGGGGACATGCTTATGTCCCCTGTGCTGTCCTCTGGCTGGAATATTTTTGAATGTTGCGTCCTTCTCCAACAGTAGCCAGGGGATGCTAGAGCAGGCTGCTCTCATCTCCCTCTTCCTCCATCCCTCATAGGAATGGGATCTTGAGGGGAAGGGCAGAGTGGACAGCTGGAGAGGAAAGTTGTATGGTAGGGGTGTAGGGGGCACAGTAGGAGAGCTCCCAAATCCCCTGAACTTCACTCTCTCCCCATCAGAGGAGAAGTGTAGGGGGGATTGGAGCTGGTGCTGTCCCTGTCCTAAGTAACCAAAAATGAAACACTTTTAAAAAGCACTTCAGTTTGGGAGGTATTATATTGGAGTGTTTTGGCCACTTCTGGATCCTTCCGAAGAGCTTGTGCATGTGCATGGCTGGCCCTCTGAAACCTTTCAAAGGCATTTGAAAGTTTTTAATTGCAACATCTGTCTGCACGCTGTGTAGCTATCTTGGCTATCTGTTGCTTTTGTGTAATCATCTAGGTTTAGGATGGCAGCTGTACCCCTTCATCCTCTGAGATTTATAATGCATTAGTTGCCTTTTGCTCCAGGTTGGACAGCCTAGGCTGCTTCATTTCTTTTAATCCACCTAGCTCTTTTTTGATGTTTAAAAAAGGCCCAGCCATTCACTTCTGGACAGTAGCAGTGTTTAGGATTGGAAGTGTCTTTGTAAATTATTTCCAAGGAGGATAAATTCTCCTAACAGCAGTGGGGAATCAAATTGTTACTTTAAGAGGAACCTCCCAATAGCACAGGACACTATAAATTCCGATTAAAATGGAGCATCCTGCTGAATGCGTGTTTTGCATTTATCTGAATGCAGATAAAGGCTTTGCTAAAGTTTTGAAGCTTAACTGATTTTTCTCATAGGTCTCTTGTCTTTCTTACAGCTGGAAAGAAGGAGCAGAAAAAGCCCTCTTCCACAGCAGCAAAATCTGATAAAGGTAACGTCTAAGGTTTTTACCCCTAATTCTTGAGAGAGGCAGTTAGCTATGTTGGTCTGAAGTTAAAAAGTAGGGCAGGGTGACACCTTATTGGCTGATTCATTCAAACTGTTTAAAGTGCTACTCTACCCTGTCTTCTGCCTTTCCCTTTTGTGTAATGAAACAATTTTAGGATGCTCTGTGATCTCTGTGATAATTGACTTCGTTTTAATTTTTTTCAAACCTTTAATAGAAGAAAACAGCTGTAGCTGTCTTTTTTGTTTATAATTTACTATTCACTGAAGTTAATTTCATAGTCCTATGGAAATACAATTTCTGAGAGAGTTGCAGGTAACCAGCTTTTTGCCGCCCCCTTCCCTCTCCCCCCGCAATCCCGAAATGCATGGCTGGGTCAGGCAGGGACAGTAGTGTCTGGTGGGAGCTCAAGAGGTGAACTAAGCAGTCAGGATTCCTGGGTTTCATTACAGCGATGGGTAAAACCAGGGATGATTTTTGCCTAAGGCCTTTTGGTTGTAAGCATGGTTTAGCTCCCCGCACCCAGCAATAAGGATGTTCAGGTGAACAACTATTCACTGCTCTTTGTGCTGGGCCAGTTACTCCTGCTCCAGACCCCTGTCCATCCCTGGTTATTTGTACTAATGGTACTGGCTTACCTCACCCATACAGCTATTAGGAGACTATATGTCGTAGTGGTTAGAGCACTGGGATGGGACTCGGAGACCTGGGTTCTGCTCTGATCTCAGCCAGTGGTCTGTTGGGTGACCTTGGAGAAGCTGCTTCACCTCCCTGGACTCAGTTTGGGGATAATGATGCTGCTGTCCTTTGCAAAGCCTTTTGAGAGATACTGGTGAAAAAGAGCCCTAGCAAAGCTACATGCCATGAGATCCCTGGGGGACAGTGCAACTTTGTGATGTCCATACAAACTTGCATCTTCCCCTCTTGTCATGGGGTCTCCTGACCTCTGTCCCAGAACTCCTTTATGCAGAATCCTTCCTGCTTTGACTCGACTGGTCATCAAATTCTGTATGGCCTTCCTGTTGTTAAATTATACTCTGCCCCAAATGGTATCCTGATAAGCAACAGTCACTATCATTCATTCCCTGGCCAGGAAGTGGGAGCAGCTGCTCCTTGGTGTGGATGCCAACTCCACTGGCAGTTTTGTTAAACAGCAGGTGGTCACTCTTGGAGCAGGTGGAACAATTCAGTAAATATTGGCAGTAGCTGGGAAAGAAATGCATACCAGACTGTGCTATTACATGTGTGCCTGCAAACTCCAGGTGAACAGCCAAAGTCTGGAGACAGAAGCGGTTACAGCAGCCCTGGCTCACCGGGAACCCCAGGCAGCCGTTCCCGCACACCTTCCCTGCCAACTCCTCCTGCCAGGGAGCCCAAGAAGGTGGCAGTGGTCCGCACTCCTCCAAAGTCCCCTTCTTCTGCCAAGAGCCGCATGCAGCCATCTGCTGTCCCCATGCCTGATCTGAAAAATATCAAGTCCAAGATTGGTTCTACTGAAAACCTGAAGCATCAGCCGGGAGGTGGAAAGGTAAATCCTGAGTCTGCTTCCCACAGGGTGTCGCATGGAGTTCTGTCATGGAGTGAGGAGTTGTCCCTTTGTGTTTAGTGTAGCTTGCTGCACTGTTTAAGCACTAAGCACTGTAGCTTGCTGCCTCAGGGATGACAGGTGCTCGCCTCTCATCCAGCCAGCTTCTGGTTTGGAACCTTGTTAAAGGGGGCTGTGTGCTTTTGCTGAAATTTCCTGCCTGGCTGAGTCTGCAGAGCATGTCTGGTCCAGAGAAGAGGCTAGTCTTGCAGAAGTAGAAAGCCTAATTATAGAAGTGCTCAGTGCTCATGATGTCCCTTCTCAGGAGAGCTGGTTGTCTCCAGCCACGCAGTTTATTTTCCTATAAATGATAGTTGCTGTGCCACATGCCAAAGGATGGTATGTTGTTCCCTCTTTCCTATGTCTTTTGCCTGGGGACAGGAATAGCTCCCACAGGGGGGTGGGAGTGATGCATCCCTCTCGTGTTGTCATTGGGGTAGTGGGGATCGGTGACACACAGTTGCTGACAATTGAGAGGGTGGGGCTGTGATCAGGGTATTTGCTGCTGACTTACTGGGTGACCGTGGGGCTCTCACTTCAACTCTGCCTTAGCTTCATCATCCCTAGGGTAGATATAATACTTTATCTAGCTTGTATGATGTGGGGTGTGAGGTGTAATATTTTTGGAAAGTGCTTTTAGGACAGTTAGATTGTAGCTGTCCTATATAATGATTTCCCCAGAACTGCAGGCTCCTTCATAATCTCCTGGCTCCTAGAATCCTTGCCAATTGAACAAGATAAGAAAATCATTGGGTTTGATGTGTCTGACACACATCACCTGCTCAGAGACCAGAGGGCAACACTTAGATGAATTGTTCCTGTTTTGGCTACCTCTCATATTTTTCACCCATAGCTTGATGGATTAGTTAAGGTAGGCCTTCATCTCCATGAAGAGCAAGTTGGGGGTTGAGCTCAGTAAGCTCTGACTGATCTCAAATTTTCTTTTAGAGTAGCTGATCTGCTCCTTGTAGTAGAAGTGTAAGACCCTGGACAGTCAAAGCAAGAGTCTGCTGTCTGTTATCAGCCAGTGTCTCCACTTATTTGTATCTAAGGAAAAATATTATTTCCTCTCTTCTTGCCTTCAGCTCTCTAATCTCAAGCCATGGTCTCCTCAGATTTTTTAAGAGAATCTGGTTTTAGGCTCTTCAGCCTCTGAACTGTCAAGGAAAACCCAGGTACCACAAAACAGCATTGGCCTTCTTCCTTCTGCCGCACGAAGCCTGTGGGATGCTGATGGATGGTCATCTCTAGGGAGATAGAACTAGGCCTTTGACCACTTAGAGGTTCCCTGGGGCTTTAGCAAGGAGTAGGGATTTTGGCTTCAGTCAGTGCCAGTGTGCAGCACACTGGTGATGATAGCGTCCCTCTAAAGCAAGGACCAGCAACCTTTTAGAGTGATGGGCCATCCCTTACAACCTGGCCACTATTGTGGGCCACTGCTTCCCTCCATATTGCCATCTTCTGCAGCACCTGTGCCCCCATTGCTGTCTCTGCTACATGTCACTAACTCCCATCGCCAGTGGCAGTGGGGAGCAGAGGCATGCTTGTGTCTTGGGACAGTGAGGAATAGCTGCTGCTGCTGCTGAGAGAGGTATAAGTGGCTGTGTAGCAGTTGCCACCAATGTATATGCCCAGCAGAGGGTGCTGGGGGGAATTAACCCTCTGACTGCACACACACTCCCCTTGCAGCAGTGTCTTCCATGGCCAGAGCCTTGTACCCCCCCCCCCACCTCCATTCTAGTGCTTCACTTCACTGAGTGCCAGGTTGCCCCAGTTGCCCACTTGTATGCTACTGTTGGGGAGGATTGAATTCAGTAACAGCAGTAAGCAGTGCCTCCTACTGAGGGGATGGAGGGGGAGGGAAAACAAGGAGGGCTGCACAGGGGTGCACTGCACAGGGGTGGAGAAAGGAGATGCATCAGGGTGAGCTGTCTGCCACTGATGCTCTTGTCACCATGAGCTGAATTCAGTTATCTTACAGGCCAGATCCATCCTGCAGGACTCCTGCTGAGCCCTGTCTTAAAGCTTCTGTGTTCAGTCCAGGGCTTTGGGACAAAGGGCACTATATTACAAATAAAGTTACTGTTGTTTTCTCTGTGGATTAGTATCCTGTGTTACAGCCAAACAGTTTTTAGGGATTTGTCAAGTCTGAAAAGACAAGCAACCCATCTGGGGTGTCTAGATGCTGCTACACCTGTTAACTTTCCTTCCAGTCAGGCTGACCAGATGTCTGGATGGAAGCAATGGACTTAAGAGCTAAGGCTAGGATTTTCAAGGAAGCCTTGAAGCAGTTAAGGAATTGGGTGTCAAACTCCTTGTGAAATGCCAACTTCAGAGTAGTTCTGGATACCTTCTGGGTGGTGTTTTCAGAAGCATTTCAGTGGTTTAGGAACCCAAGTTTCAAAGAAAGCTGGAAGTGACTTGGGTGCAAAAGCCCCTTAGATGTGTTTAAAAAGGTGCCTGTTGATGCAGTGCATCTCTGGTGTTAGCTTACTACCTTCTGTCTGGGCTGGCCAGGGACACCAGCTCAAAATCCAGTCTGAAGTGAATTCCCTTCCACTTAAAAGTCATGAGAACAGACTCCTAGTGTCTTCAGGATCTGCTGTGCTTTCCTTAAGAACAGGATGCTAGAACTTGTGAATACAAGATCACAAACTGGTCTGAAAGCTTCTGCTCACTTATGTTGGATTTTGCAGTTCCCAGGAGCGCAATAAGAAGAGACGTTGTGCAAACAGAAGCCCTTAGGAGCTATGTCCAGACCCTTTTCTCAATGTCCTTTTTCACTGTCACTCTGACACTTCCCTCCACCCCTTCAAACTACCTCTTAGACTTCAGGCAACTTGGTCCAGTCCTACTCTCAGAAGTTTGCCCTGGCAGTCAGCCACCCTTGGGGCACCTGAGAGTAGACTCTGGATTTGCATCTGATGTAGCATCACAACTTCAGACATTTTGGGATCAGAATGGGATGCTGGCTTGAAGGGAGCAGTTTCAGGAGGAAATTTCTGTGGGCATAGGAGGAGAGTTAATTTATGGAAATAACAATAATTTTCCAAACCAAAGAGCCCCCCCCGGTTGCACATGTCCTCTATTTTGGACTCTGTTGTAACCAGCTTAAAAGGGAGAACTCCACAGGGATGTTCTGTATGTGTGTGTGCAGGTGGGTATGTATGTTTTGCAGTGGAGGGGAGTGCTGCATTGGGATTGGGCTGCCAGCGAAACTAAAATGGTTCTTTTAAACATGAACAAAGAAAGCCAGTGTTGATCCCCGAGACCTCCAAGAAGTAGAAAAAGGAGTGAATGACAAGCAATCAGGCAGTAGCCTTCCCACACATGCATCGTTCTTCCCATTGCCTGCAAGGCAGGTCACAGAAAAGAGACTAGTCGCCCTCTCTGAAGAGTGTGGGGCTCCAGAAACCCTCTGAGGGCTGGAAGCACACGGAAGAGACCGGGTAGACCGGGGTAGGCAAAACACAGCCCACGGGCTGGATCTGACCCACAGCTGCACCCCCAGTGCTCCCTGCCCACTCATGCCGGGGCAGCCTGCATCAGGCTTCTCCTGGCTCTCGCCGATCCAGGCCCTGGCCAGCCTGCAGCTTCTGGCTGGGCTGTTCCTGGTGTGGCTGCAGCTGGGTGCTGCTCTCTGCATTCCTTGCCTCTAGCAGCGGCTCCTGCTTCTGATCTTGTTCCTGCTGCACCACACCATGCCGTGCTGCGCTCTCCAGGCGAGCAGTTTCAGCCAGGCAGCTCCTACCCCAGTGTGCAAGGCTCCAGCTTCAGCTCTCGGCTGCCTTCCAGCTGGAACCAGAACTCCATGCACCTTCCAGCAGCAGCGCAGCATGGCAAGAGCAGGAGGAGGAGCTGCTGCTGGAGGTGGGGCCTGCACAGCAGTGCCCAGCCAGGCACTGGTGGGAGCACAGTGCAGGTTGCCTGGGGTGAGGGGGCTCAGCCTCTTGTGGAGAACCATGGGGGCAGCGTGGACTGCACCACCCAGGCATGCTCTGCTGCACATGCCTCCCTCCCACCCCCTTACGGCTCCCAGGACCTAGTGCCCAGGCAAACCCATTCCACAGACGCATACACACATATCACACCCCCCACACACACCTACAACCCAAAGGCAGGGGCATGTGATCCCAGCCTCTCCTGCTCCTCCCACTTCTGAACACTGTTCCTTGCCTGCCTCATGGTGAGTTGTTGCCAGGACTGGAAGAAAGCCATTTTGAGTGCCTGTTAATGCAACTGAGTGGCTCAGTAAATTTATCACACTGGAATTTATATAGGTTGCATATATGCCACTTGATTTGACTTTTCCATTTAAATAAAAAAATGAATATTCTACTAGCACCTTACCAACTAGATACATATTTTACTTTTCACTGCACTTTATTACGTGGCTTTTGGAGTTGGTGCTGGGTTGCAATGAAGATGCTGCTGACATCAGTCACCCTTGGCAGATGCACCTGGGCTGAGCTGATACGCCCTCCTAGACTTCTGTATGACTTGTCAGACTGGATAAACTGGTGGTTCCTCAACCTTTTACATCAGTTGACTGCTGTCAACCCTCAGCACTTTTCACAAACCTTGAAGCAGTCTTATCAAACTTTTAGTTGAAGGAAGGTGTGTGATGTGCTCCGGGCCTCTTCCCAAATAGTGGTCTCAGGTCATGGTAAGAGCTGGATAAGCTTTTCTTGAAGGCTTTGTATTAAAAAGCCACTTTTCAGCGCTCTGCCAAAACACCTGCTGTCTTTGAAATTGCAGTAGTTCAGTGGTTTTAAAGTGAAATGTCCACTTGCCATTGTGTCTGTTTTCATGACTTATTTCCCCTTTGAAATCAGCTTCCTTTCCTCTGGCACACTGTGGATGCTGGAGGACCAAGCAAAACCCTTTCATGGCCCCTTGCTGGAGAGCACCACTGCTGCTTGCCATTGCAAAGATTTTCAAGTGCTCTGGCAGGGGTTTGTAGGGGATGGCCATGTATCTGTATGGCACGTAAGAGCTCTAAATTTGAAGTGCTACAACCTACAAGAAACACAGGAGCAGACAAAAAAAGGTGGAGTTTTGTTGTGCACAGCAGCGTGATCTAGCAGATGAAGCACAGGACGGAGAGAGCTAGAAATGGCGTAAGGTATCAACTGTTTGCTGAATGTTCAAGGTATTTTTCTGCATCCCCTAAATTCAGTAAAATGGTACTGAGGATGGCCTGGTTTGCTTTGGAAAGGCAGGCCGCAAATGATAGGGAAGAAAGGGAAATAAAGCTGCTGGGGACAGGGGCCTCCTTGAACGCACTGTGTTGGAGGTGACATGTCCTCTGTGTTATTTAGGAATCTAGTGCTGAAGAGTCACTGATGAAAATGCCTTGGTGTTTAAAACTCCACCTCTGCTGAATTTGTTCCTGGGTTTTCAGAATGAATTGTCCCAAGCCTCAAAAAAAGAAAAAGAAAGAACCACACAGGAGGTTTCATAAGTCCTCAATTTTTCTATCCTGTTCATTAACCCTTTAAAACAAAGTGTAGCCAGGAAGGGCCCTCAAATGTAGCCTGTTGCTGCTAATCATTAAGCCTGCAACAGCCCAGATGCTTTCTGAAGTGTCAGACCCACCCACATTTATGTCTGCAACATCAAGGACCTCATGTTTGGCTTGATATAATGTGGTCATTTCCTAGAGTGTGGTGCCAGTACAATGCGATGGTTCTCATTTCTAGTCAGGGTTATTGATGCTGCTGCTACAAGTAACTCTTTCCTCATGAAATAAACTTATGCCTTGTCTACATGCAGCTTGAGTGGTGTAGTTTAAGTTGCACCTGGGCAGGGGGTTCAGTTATCTTGATGTAAAGATGTTTGTTTATGCCCACAGATTTTTAAAGCCAGAAGGATCATTAGATCATTTAAGTCCAGTGCCAGGCAGGAAGAAGACTGTATCATGCTGATATGAGGCATGTTTATGCTGGTATCACTAGGTCCATACTAGAAACTGTATCAGTATAGACCATTTGAGTAAATAAATCACATGACATATTGAAATAATGACATTACATCTGTGTGTAGCCAGGTGTCCCTTTGCAGGGACAGGGCAGACTTTGAGAGGTTCCCTGCAGGTTGTAGCTTGAATTTGCCTGGGTAGGTATGTTATATGCCTCCAGGCATGAATTACAGCAGAGACGACAAATTCCTTCTTCAGCTGAAGCTGTTATGGGCCCGTACTCACCCATGATTTAAAACTCTAGGAAGTGGGCAGGCTTCGGTCTCTGTTTCATAATGATGTTCTCTCTTTTGGGCACCTGGTGGGGTCTTGTGCACACTTGAAGTGCTGCAGAACTTGACTGCCTGCCTGCACGTACTGTAATTTTCCAGCGTATACATCACACCACCAAAAACATCAAATTGTGGAGGAAAGTTCTTAATGTAAATTTAATTGAATTTTGGTCACCTCTATTGCTGTGATTTCAATATCCTTTTTTTTTTTGTCGCATACTTTTTAATGTGTAAGTCATACTTTAACTTCCCACCTCTATTTCTTTTTGGGGGAGAGCATGTAATATACCAGGAATTACAGTACCTGCAAGCTCTGAACATACTGCTCCTTTGGGCTTTGTGCTCTTCCCAGATGTTTCCTGCAGTTTGCCATCATTCAGTGGTCTTGCAGCATTCAAAGGCAGGGCTGCAGTGCCCCTGAGGATGGGTGGGAAGCTGCCTCGTGCAGATTGATGCCACTCTGTGGCTGGGTAGCATCTGTCTCTGAGGATTTGCCTGTCTCATTGCCTACCACATCAGAGGCGGTTCTACCATCTTCATGCAGATTCTCACCTCACCACACCCATACCCTCCTGCTCAGCATGTTCCCCTCTGTGTGTGGCAAAGGCGGTGCAGAGAGCTGTTTTTTGTATATTCTCTTACCTTGTAGAATAGGGCTGCCTGTGCTGGAGACAGATGATTCCCATTGAGTGCAATCTCTGGGCTGCTCACCTTTGCCAGTCACTAGAGAATCTGCCTTCAGCTTCCTTGAGCAGAGAAAATGCAGCATCGAACCAGCACGTGATCATTGGGAGCTTCCTTTTTGAGTCAGTTAACGTGTCATTGGTCTGCGGACAGTGATGCTGTTACTCATGTTCTTTTCTGGCTATCGAAGGTGCAGATTGTTAATAAGAAGCTGGACCTTGGCAGCGTTCAAGCCAGGTGTGGCTCAAAGGATAATATCAAACACGTCCCAGGAGGCGGCAGTGTGAGTACCTTCACACCTTGATGCACTGTAATAGAATTGGCATGACTCTGCACTAACCCGCCAATGCTATCTCTAGTGACTGCGTGCTCAGATAGCGATTGGGGACGTGCAATGAATTAACTCATTAACATGGAAGACCCAGTTAGATGAAGTCTAACAAGTCCTGTACATGCTGTTGCCCAGGCAGACCTAACCAAAACCCTTCTAGAATGAGTGGAAGAGAACAGCCCGGTTAATCCAAAGGTTTCTGGGTATCTGGAAGTACAGGTGCTTTATTGCCTGCAGAGCAGAATAACACTAACGGGTATTAGGTGACTATTAATGCTTGCCACATGCTGACTAGGACTGTAGCTGGATATTTTCTGACATGCAGGCAAACAGAAGCCCTGTTTTTATTTCCCGCTGAAATTGCATCAGACATGAAGGGCCAGTCCCCAACCAGACTTTGATACACACTAAAGCAGGTATAATCCATGGGTTGCATGGTCCCTTCATGGAATATCCCTCCAGCCTGCTTTAGGCAGGTGCTTACAGGAATTGGTCACAAAGCATTGCTGGACTCACAGATTTGGATGTAGAAGTTTACTGCTCTCTACAGGTCCAGGCAATGTTTCTGCCTCCCTTTTTAATCCGAAGTAGCCAAATTCATCTCTCGGTTACACCACCAGAAATCAGAAGTATTTCTCCTAAAATCAGGGAGCTTACATCAGTGTCTCTGAAAGCAGAATTTAGCTCTCGGAGAGAAGATGACAGATCCAAGTGCAAATGTCACAGAAATGGTCACCAGCATATCCCTAGAGAGGTGGGCCCTCCCTGCCCTCTGTGACCAGCATCTGGGAGCTGTCCTGCACTCAGCAGAAGGCCCTCAGTCTTTTCAAACAAATGTACTTCCCTTTTTGTTTTACATTTCCCTCCGGCATTCTGAAGGATTAGTCACTTAAGCCTTTGAAACACAACTGGGCTTGCCACTGGATGGTTAAATAGGTTGCCATTTGTTTATGTCTTTAGTGGCCAAAAGAGCTGGCCCATCGGAGGTTAAAGCACTCCCTGAAATTAGTCTCCTGCCTGCTTTGGAAAGGGGGATGGGGGCTGAACATTCTCAGTCCTGGGGTCCAGTGTGATCTTTGGCTGGCTTTTACCCCAGATGCACGGTGCTGCCACCATGTGTTTTGTCAGAGGCCAGCACATGTCCCATGCACCCTGTTTCCTGGCTTCTGATTAAGTCTAATGCAGGCAAGTGAATTCCTGCTCCTCACCCATGAGAACACAGCCAGTGAGTGGAAATGAGCTGTTGCTACAGCAACATACTTTTTCCTTTAAGCTGACAGGGCAGGCAGTGCAGCATGACCCTCTAATACTGCTTCCCCAGCAAGAGGCATCAAGGGAAGGAGTCCTGCCCCTGAAGCTGGGCTCTGGCCATTGGTGATGTGTAGGGGATGCACATGAACCTCCTGAGATTGGCTGCGCGCCCCCTGGAAGCACCATCCACGAAACCGGAAGTGCTGGTGGTTCTGCGCTCAGTGATTGGCCGCAGGGGGACCCCCCTGCCCCCCCAGTCTGCGATCGGCCGCAGGGAGACAACCACCCCCCCTCTCGTCAGTGATCTAGTGCACCCCCAGACTTGGGAGGCACCAGTCGCCCATGGCTCCGGCACATCGCTCCATGTGTCCATTGTCCTCCCCTCTACCACTTAAGATCTGTAGAAGGTGCCAAGAGAAAGGCAGAGAAGTGCTGTTAGCACATTGCTTTGAAGGTGGCCAGCACGGAGGATGCCAAGTCTTGCTCTGAAATCACTCCCTATAGCTCACAAATGTCTGAGTCAGGCTTTTATCACGTGGTTTTTGGTTCCAGCTGAAAGCAATGGTGTGTTCCTGGGAGGCACAGGGGAGCTCTGGGTACAACAGTGTCTCCTGTGCCTTGAGTCTCCTGTTCCTTGCCTTGTTGGACAAAGTTCAGCTGTAAATCTGTATGTGGGTTAAAAGAGCAATTTTTCCTGTCTGCGTGCTCATTCCCAGTGCTCTCCCCTGTGAAGCCAAATCCCAGGATGTTCTTCTCTTCCATTTTCTCTCTCCCTTGCATGTGAGATGTGCCCTTTGGTCTTTGCATGCAAGAACTGCATACTCAGATGTGTCTTGCTCTGACTCTGTGTTATGAGCTGCCAGGGGTTGTGACACACTAGCTTTAATTAACCAGAGATCAGGTATTCAGTGGGTGAGGATGTCAGTCTTCCGGCATCTAAAAATATAAGTTGCGGGTTAAATGTTTCACCATAAGGCTGATGCGTGCCAACGAGCCATGTGTGCAGTGCTTTCAGACCTGGCTCAGAATGAATCTTGAGCACTTCTTTTGACAGAAAAGAGACACTTTCCAGGTGGGAGCTGGAAATGGCAGCAATGTGAGCTGTGCTCTTCTGGAGATGGTTGAGTGAAAGACTAGGGGAAGCATGTTCAGTCCACAGCATCCGAAGCCGAGACGCATCCTCCCTGTGTGACAAGCACCTGCCTGGTGCTTGAACTGTCAAGCCATCACCTGCAGCTTTGGAGCCCCCAGGCCTGTTTCCAGACAGAGTGACTTCATGCAGATAGCAGGCCAGCCTCTTACCCTCCCAGAATGGAGGGACTTGGTATTTAGTTTTTGGATGTATTTTGTTTTTGGAGGCACAGTTTTCCTGGTGAGTAAGGACTGGGCTCATAAGATCTGATGGTCCAGTAACTTTCAGGTCCAGAATAACTAGCTGCCAGCCAAGCCTGCCTTGTGCTGGTGTTACACAGTCATGTTGCCAACAAGTAACCTGGTTTAAAGCAACTCGGAGATGGCACCTTTCCCTCCTGTATTCTGCTCCTAATGTTGCTGGGGTGTGTGTGTGTGTGTGCGTGCGTGCGTGCGTGCGTGCGTGCTCAGATTCCTCAGTGTCCTAGATCATCTCAAGTCTAACCTGTTACCAGCTTGTTCCATGTTTTCAACTGTGGCATTTAGCTCGCAATTTAACTGCTAAGCAAGCTTCAGCCTAACTGTCCATTTTGCGTGTATTGCAACCGTCTTGCATAACCAGTTCACATGTTTCCAAGGCTGATACCACATGTCCAAAAAACTCCAGATGCTCAGTGTCATGTAATGAGAAATCTTAGAACTTGGTGGTTTAAATGAAATGGTTAGATGCTGTATTCAGACATGTAACATTTTTTAAAAAGTCATCTTAAATAATAATACATGCTACTGTTTTAATGTCCCGCATTAGAGCGATCACTTAAATATATTTTCCTGCACTGTATTTACTATTTGTATTATTTTAAAACAAACAAGCCCTTTAATTCCATTTCTGCATTTTCAGAAATGCATATTACAGTCATTTTTTAAAAAATGCTGTGCCCATTGACCATTTCTATTCTTTCAGTTTTTGAGGACATAGAGTTTAAGTTTTACATCAGCAAAGGTATTTATTTATTTATTTTTACATTTCTCTCTAGTCTTTCTCTTTGGAATGATTTTTATAATGTGAAACTTGATTAATCAGCATTCCACTTTTTTTCTTTTCACTGAAGCACTTTATTAAACTGCCTCTCCTTTTCCCCCTCCCAGAAGAGGTGATCTTATGCATGCTGACATTTTAGACAGGTTACTGCACATGGGCTTTAACGATTTCACAGTTTCTGGTGGCAACTTCTTCTGTAATTGCTGGTGTATTAATAAGCTGGGAGTCTAAACTGCTTTATCTCAAATACAGATCAGGCTCCGGTGTTTTTTATCCCCTCTCCCCTTTTGTTAGAAAATCATTGGTGGTACTAAAAGTTGCATGTCCTTTTTCTTTTTTGTATGACCAGGTGCAAATTGTTTACAAGCCAGTAGACCTGAGCCATGTGACATCCAAATGTGGTTCCTTGGGCAACATTCATCATAAACCAGGTATTGCTCCTGACTACTTAGTGCCCAGGGGTTATTCCAGGGGCTCTCCCAAAAGAGCTTGTCACATCATGTCAGTTGTTTAGGTTGCAAGTGTTGGGGGGAAGGAGGGGAGGTAAAGTTGGCTGTTCTGTGTGTTTACAGCCCTGAGTGCAGCAGTGCTGACCTTAATGTAACTCCTTTAAGGGCTGCCATCATGAGAAGTTGCAGAAGAGGATTACGTGGCCGCTTACCCAGGAGAGCATGGACTTTACACATGCTACCAGTGATTCAGTGCATGTAGTTGCCAGTTGGATCATGGGCTCCCAGCCTTCTCCCAGGGTTGCACCCCTGGTGCACAACATGCAGCAGACTTCAGGCAGTCATGCCGTGTTACGCACATGAGGCCCACAGAGGCCATGAATGCAGACCCAGACCACTAGCTGCCGCCTCCTGGCAGCCATTCACATTTTGCTTTCTCTTCCAGGTGGTGGCCAGGTGGAAGTGAAGTCTGAGAAACTGGACTTCAAAGACAAGGTGCATTCGAAAATTGGGTCATTAGACAACATCACCCATGTTCCTGGAGGGGGCAATAAAAAGGTAGGATGCTGCCCAGGACCAAGTGTTCTCCCAGTCCTTGCAGGGCCCTGTGCTCCATGCCCCCTCAAGTCTGGGGCCAGCCATTGCTGTAGCAGCTCTGCACATCCAGCCCCTGTAGGACCAAGGCCTCCTCTTCTCTGAAGGTGAGGTTCTGCTGGTTGCCTTGCCCTCTCTCCATTCACAGCATCACAAACAAGTGTGTGCAGCTGCTAAAACAGGCCACTGTCCAAGCTGAGCACTGCTGCTGCTGCCCATTAGAGATCAGGGTTTAAAGGATGTCATCCTTAAAAAGTAGGACTCCTGCTCAGCCCCGTGGCCTCAGCCCTCTGCCCAAGTCAGTTGGACTTCAGGTCACAGAAGCACGTTGCTTAAGATGGATGCAGACCTTCTGACTGAGATGATCTTCTACACGTGTTAAAAGAATACAAAAGCACTACAGCATGTGCAGTAAGGAGCCACCCCTTGCACACGCACACACACACTCTGTGGAGCCATGGTTACAAACCCAGACATGTGCATTTGGGTGTTTCTCTAGAAGGACAGCTTTGCAGGTGAGCCAGCATTTCAGAGACAAGGTCTCTTCCTGCCACCAGGCAAAACAGCTGAGCCATGGCGCTGCAAGACATCAGACAGCCTGGTGTGTGTGTGTGGTAACTTAGTGCTATACTTGCAGAAAGCAAACTCGGCATGGAGAAACGTTTCACTTTGGGTGGCGAGTTTGGCCATTCAGCAGGTGGGGGTGGGCATGATTAATGACTGAATTCTTGTTAAACGGAGCACTCTACGTCCAAGCTTATCTTTAAGCAGGCCAGCAGTTCTGTGGCCTTTAGTTAGGTTGCTCAGGCAGTTGTGCAGAAGGGCTGTGTTGCCTCTGGGCCTAACATTTCCAGAACTGTGCCATAGAACATGCTGGGATGGCAGACATCACATCCTTTCTTTTATAGCATTTCCCCTGACTGGCAGTGCATTTGGACCATCTCAGCATCTGCTTTACCTGCCATTCAGTGGTCCAGCGGAGCAGGGTGCAGAGTGGCTTTCTCAGTGTCCCATGAAGGGTGCAGCCTGTGTGTACCTACACTACCTTGAGGCTGCAGCTCAAATACAGATGTAGTTAGTCTAATTGACTGTCAAGCTGGGCAGACTGCCCGTGACAGAGAGCAGCATTTTAAAAGTATCTGGAGACATGCTTAAATAGTGACTGCAGGTCTTGAAGGAATAAAGGACGTTCCTCATTAAATCAGAGTCCTGAAGAAGAGACTTTAATTTGAGATGCCACTGATCCTGTATTATTTAAAAACTAAACGCTATTTGAAGCCATCCTATTGGGTCATGGTGCTATGACCCCATTAGTGCCATGCACCCACTCGCCAGCTGAGACTGAAGAAAGCACAGCAGCGAATCCTGCCGGCCTGGGGCAGTGGTGACGGGGGTGCTTGGGACAGTGGCACAGATGGTTGGATTGTTGCGCTAAAGTGATCCAAGGGAAGGTTATTGGTGTCCCTGGTGGTTCAGCATTGCTTCAAGGAGAGGTTGGTTCTGCTTCAAGTCCTGTTCTTCAGCACTTGGTTCAGCGCTTTCTAAACATCGTGAACATTTTTTCCAGCATCTTTCTTGGCATCTTCCAGTGAGCTCCCCAGCCTCTCTGACAGAGGGGTTTCTGGCTTCCTCCCCCATCCCTCGCAGCCATGGTCATAAGCTTGCCCTGTGCCACTCTGCTGCTCCCTCTGCTGAGCTCCCTTCTCTGCTCTTTCTTCATCTTTGTGCCATGTCTGGCTTGAAGACCTTGGCTTTTAGAGAGGGGCGTGGAAGCCCTCTGATCAAAAGTTGCATACAGACTCTAAGAGTGTGGCTCCCTGCCTTCTACATGGCTGTCACTCGCATGCCCAGGAGGGAACTTCAGTCACGGGAGTTGGTCCAGTCATGTCTCCCTGATGCTGGAATTTTTTACTTTTGGTCACTTAGGTTCATATGTGCTCTGTCCAGGCCAGATGCACCCTGTAGCAGTCCCCCATGGGTCCCACCACTGTTCTCACCCATGTGCATGGAGCCACTATCTGCCAGCACAAATCCCAGCAAGTAGCACTCCCTCTTTGTCCCCATTAGGGGTGCTTGGGCAGCCTGCAGTCTTCCTGCACATCTCTGAGCAGGGCAGCTCCGTGTGGCCGAGTTTGATGTGGCCTTGCAGACTGCCCGCTGTAGCCTACAGGCAGAGCAGCTTGGAGCCTGCTGCTTCGTGCATGTGGCCTCAGAGGCTGGTGGTTTTTCTGGGAGCAGGTGGTTATTCAAACCATGGCATCCTCTGGCCACATATCCACACAGCACAGGCACTCCTGGTAGGGTAATACCATCTTCCTGGGCTCTCTACAAGGCTGCCAGGTATGCAAAAATCTCTCCCAGTGAAAGAGATTGCAGATTTCTACTTGCTTGCCACTGCACATCCTGTCTGTCTTACCTCTCAGACCTGCTTTGTGCTTTGCAGAATGGCCTTGTGGCCAAACCCCATCATCATGGCCGGCATTGGCTGAACACCGCCCTGCCAGCAGCCAGCACTGAGCCAGCACACCATGTGGCTGGCACTCCATCAGCGAGGATGCTGGCTGGCAGGTGTGTTCCAGAGTGGTACAGCCGTGTTGTGAACCAGAGCTGACATTGCTCGAATGCAGCTGGGGTGGCTGTCACCCTTCTGCACCTGGGACCTGCTTCAGATCTTGCCTTCTGGTATCTCCTTTCTCATACCCAAAGGGAAAGCCATTCTTCCTCCTCCTCACTGAAAAGGCTCTCTGCACTGTCCCTCTCTCTCTCTTTTTTCCTGCTGTGGGCCCACTGGGTTTTCCCATTGGGGCGTTTTGTTTCCTCTCCCCTCCCTCCCACCTCCATTTGGGTTTGGGCTGAGGTCAATCCAGTCAGATCCTGTTGCTGATGTGATGCATTTTGCGCCCTGCTGATTTCTTCACCTGTAGAGAAAGGAGGGGAAGGAAGACGAGAGCGGAGCCCGCAGTGGTGTGACGCACAGTCCAGACTGTGCCGTGCTTCAGTCCCTGGCCCCTGAGCCCTCCATGCCTGAGGAGAGCCAGGTCCCAGAGGAGGAGGAGGAGAAAAATCCCAGTAAGTAGCTCCCTGTCAACTTCCACCTTGGAGCTCATGCTTCACAGGAGCAAAGGGTGTCCGGTTCATGGACACCTCTGGCTCCCTGAAGGAGCAGTCTCCTGAGCCTCGGTATCTGCACTCTCAGCTGGACCATGCAGTGGTAAATGTTTGCTCTATGTGGACAGGGAAGGTGTTCAGACTGCTGAGCGAAGGCAGGTCCCTCTTGCACCTGCCGCCATATGATGCTACCCTCTGGGGCATCAGTCTGTGAACAGATTGATTCCCACAGCCTCTCTCCCCATAACAGTGCTGGAAAGGGGGTAGGAAGCACTGGGTTTCCCTTGGTTGTAGTCTCCCCCCTTGCTCCTAGCTACACCCCCTTGGGAGGGCCAGGGTTGACAGAATTAACCAGCTTCACTGTTTAAAAAGTCCCCACCCTCCCTCTAAGGCCAATCCATGGGCAATAGGTCAAGTCTCCCCCCGCTCACTCTGCATATCTTCCCGTTGCAGATCGAGACTCACAAGCTGACCTTCCGTGAGAATGCCAAAGCCAAGACTGACCACGGAGCTGAAATTGTCTACAAGTCCCCCACCATCTCCGGAGATGCCTCCCCCCGTCGCCTTAGCAATGTTTCCTCCTCCGGCAGCATCAATATGGTGGACTCCCCCCAGCTTTCGACATTAGCCGATGAAGTGTCTGCTTCCCTGGCCAAGCAGGGCTTGTGATTGCGTTGCTGTGGGTGGAGAGAAAAGAATTAAAAATCTGGCCTTCTTCCTCTGTTCCTTTTACAGCTGCTTCCCCCACCCCCTAACTGGTTAAGGATTTAACCTGCTTTTATTATTCATTTTGCTCCAGCTCCAGGACTTGAAAACCAGTCACTGCATTGGGTTCAGTCCCCTCCTTTCCCAGCTGGGGTTAGCCATGTTCAGAAACAAACCCCTTGCAAAATGTGGGTTTGACTCCTGGGTGGGTTTAGGGCTTCTCCTGTCTAACTGCAGAGAACAAGCCTGGTGCCTGTTCCCCCCAGCCACGCCATGAGGCCTGCCCCATCCCACCACCCAAAGCATCCCCCCTGTGCTGCACCAGATCACTCCTCTCCTCTGGTTTCCTGCAGCAGCAGTTCTCTGGGGCCTGCTGCCCCCTGCTGGGGACACTGGGTGCTGCAGACATGCTGGGAACAAGCCCATGCAGGAGAGGAAAGGAAGGTGTTTGCCTTCTGGGGGGATGTCCTGGGGCTGTGGGGGAGGGATTCCAGTAGCAATTTAGATTTAATTCAATTTCGTCTCATTTCTTGTGTCAGTCACCCTGGCCAAGAAGCTGATGGATCCTCCATCCTGGGGAGGAGCCCCAGGCCTGGGCTCTGGCTCCTTCACCTTCTCTCATCCAAAGGCACCAGGCTTCTTCCTGAGACCCAACAGAACTGACTTTCAAGTCCTGTGAGCAGCAGCAGCAGCAGCTCCCCTGTGCCCTGGTACCCCCGGGACACTCTTGAAGGCCGTAGTGGCCCCAGCAGCCCCCCGTTCCTCTTAGAGCCGGTTCTGTTCTCTCTGCAAGGATCACACGTTTTCTGTTTTTACTAACATCTGGTTTTAGGGCTACTACTTTTAACTCTTTGTATTAACAACAACCGCTAATGGCTTCTTCTTTCTCCCCACTCATTCCTCTTATGAAAGGATCTTGGCTCCTGTCCTTGGCAGAGACCTCTTTCTCTAGTCAGCTGTGTGACCTTGGGCTGCATGTCTGGTTCACCAACCCTTTCCATTGCTCATGCCCATGTGACTGTGTCCTGCACGCAGCGTGCATCTGGCATGCGGGGAACCCAGGAGTCTGGGCACTTTGTAACATAGCCGCATGCTCTGAATGTTGGGTGGGGGACCTGCTTTAAGAAAGCAGAGTTGCTGGGGCTGTATCCATGAAACCCTTGGGGACAGGGCAGTTACTGGGCAGGATAAATTTACCCCTGCGCTCCCCCACCCCCCTCTTCTCCCCCATCCCCACCGGCTTCCTGTTCTCACTATAGCTAGATGAGTGCCTGGCAGGCTGGACAGCTTGGCTCTTGTGAGCTTTTTGGGGTTCTTCGGAGGCTGCCTGCACGGTTTCTGGGGAGTTGCTCTGTCTAGGTGCTGCTGCAAAGTGAAAGTTCTCTGTCGGTGCCAGGACATGAACTTTGTATGTGGCCTTTGGGCCTGTGGGATAGTATAACTATAAGTAAGAGCTGGAGGTTGAGCGTGGTCCTTGCAGAGAGCAAATCTTAAATGTATCAGAGTGGGAGGAAGAATGTAGGACCTTGCTCAGCAAGCAGATAAAAAAGGAGACTTTTCAAGTGAGACAGCTGGGAGCTGCAGGGTGTCTCATAAGAGTACCAATAACAAAGATAAAGGTGTGCGTTCTTTTTCTATGAACAGTAGAGGAGGATGGGAGCCAAGGAGCTGGGAGCAGATTGTGTCCCCTTCACTTGCTAATTCTCCTGGCAACTAGACAGAGACCTTTCTTCTTTCAGCAGACAGGGTTTCTATTGATGGAAACTGGGGACTCCTCAAACCCATGTGCTGCCCTGGGCATCCCCCTTTACTTCCCCTTCCTGTTCCACCAGCCATTTCCATGCTGGAAGTGATGATGATGCTAGGGTTTCTGGGCTCCCTTAGGCAAGAGATTGTTCTCTGAGCGGGCGTCCCCCTAGTTTTGTCGGAGTGAGGCATTTCTGCAGGGGCTGTGGAGTCTGTGAATATAGGTTTTTTCCCTTTGGCATCCCCTCGTGTTGTATAGTTGGATTTGTCTGTATATGCTTGGAAATTGCCAGGGTGACATTTGGTTTTATATACATATAATATATATATATATATGTATATATATATATACACATAAAAAAAAAAAAAAATCAGGATTTTAG